CCAGACCAGAGTGGGCTCTTCTTTAGAAATATTTTGACATGTATAAAGTGATGTAACACATACCACATCCGCCTGTTTCCTGTCTGTTAGGATGGCTGCAGTTTTCTTGTCCAGGATGAGCAACGGTTTAGCAAGGAAGTCCTACCCCTTTACTTCAAACACAGCAACATGACCAGTTTTGTGCGCCAGCTTAACATGTGTAGGTGTTCAGCTAATGATGATAAGATATACAATGATAATTTATGTGCATGATAGATGATACTGTATGTATCTGACCTCCACATACAGATGGCTTCCACAAAGTGGTGCATTTAGACACCGGCTTGCCAAAAGCTTACGGGCAGGTCAATTGTGTTGAGTTTCAGCATGAGGACTTCCAGAGAGCTCAACCCCATCTGTTGGGCCTCATCCACAGGAAGGTGAAGCTGATAAACCTTATCATACTTGTGCAGCACTCAAACCGCAGTGACATCTACAAAGCAGTTGCTATCCCTCATTTGTGTCGTATATGTGATTTCATGACTAGGTGTCAGTTAGCCGTGAAGTTGAAGAGGGAGGGCGGATCGCTCAGGGACTCGATCAGATTAGTCATGTCAAAGGCTGGCAAGACTCCTCAGACCTCAAACTCATGGCTTTGTGCAGGTGAGCCTTCCTCCAAGACAAGTAAACCTAATTCATCAGTGTAAACCTACAGTAAACTTCAGCCTCGTTTGTGCACTTATTTGATATATTTTAAAATGTAATTTATTCCAATGAGGGCAAAGTAGAAATTATTCTAAAACGCTGCTTTGGTGCTCAATAAACATTTCATCTTATTATCAAAGTTGAAAATAGCTTAATAATTTTGTGGAAATCCAGTTCACTTCAGATATTTCAGTATTATTGGATGAATAGAAAGTTCAAAAGAACAGCATTTATTAGTAATGCAAATCTTTTGTAACATTATAAATATCTTTACTGTCACTTTTTGGTCCTTGCTATACTTGATTCTCTGCCATGACTAAAAAGAACCATTTTCTTTTAACCATAATCGTCCGTTAAGGGATAACGAGAGTTTGTGGAGAGAACTGGAGTTGTTAAGACAGAACTTTCAGCAGCATCACAAAATCATACGCAAGGTAAATGAAAAAAAAATAATAATAAAAAAAATATATGTAAATAGTTACTATAACAATGATGCTATTTCACATCTTTTCAGATTATAAAGTTCATCATCAACATTGTCCAATCAAATAGGATCAAAGGTTGCAAAAGGAGACTGTAAGTTTTAATTAAAGCACACAAAATATTCTTAGTCAGTGACAAATGTTGTTGTCTACTCTGTTAGTTCTCACTTCTTACATCACATTTCCTTTCAAACAGCCCTATGATCGACAATTCTGTCGAATTTCAGTCGGCACCGAAATACGCCCGTTCCTTCAGTGTCAATCCCACCCAAAGCACTTCCTCCCTCCAAGAAATCCCTTCGTTGCAAAAGGTACCAGCTAAAATCTTAGTTTGACCTACTTGTGGTAAATGATATGAATTATGAAGTCACTTCTTCAAACACAGTGCTGTTTAGTTATAAAAGAAGGTCACATTGAAAGCTAGTGACACCACTTTGGGTTTCTGGGCAGCTGGATGTGTCACCTGCTGACGTGTACTCAAATGGTACGATCATCTCTGACATCACCAACCTGCTGGATCAAACACCTGACCCTATCAAGTAAGACAGCAGCAGTCCAGCTGTAGTCTTCATCCTCTGCACAGGAGTCACGTTTTGTATAATTATAATCGTTTTAGTTTTTTTTTTACACATTTAAAAAAACATTCTTTTTTTAAAGTGTAAAAAGAGGAAATGAAAGTTTCGTTTTCTTTTTCTGTTTTACAGAGAGGCCGAGACAGAAATCCTTCCCGTAACTCTCCAACCATTCTTATCCCCTGCCTCCCCGACTCTTCCCTCTGTGGAGCTGGCGTTGTCTTTGCTGGATGACCCAACTGTTCAGGAGTTTGAGGAAATGCCCTCAGAAAGGTTCATGTGTCATTTATCTAATCATTTGTAACTAATCCCTGTTCTATCATCAATAACTCTGTACAATATTTCACAGGGCTTTACAATTCAGGAGATGGTCCTCACTGCAGAACACGAAATCCAGGGGGAGGAGTTGGATCCAGATCCAACTCCTCCCACCTTACATATACCTAAACCAACCCATCTCCGATCCCTAACCCCACCCTAATCTTACCCATCTTCGTCCCCTGATCCCTAACCCCACCCTAATCCTACCCATCTCCGCCCCCTGATCCCTAATCCTACCCATCTCCATCCCCTGATCCCTAATTCTACCCATCTCCGTCCCTTGATCCCTAAACCCACCCTAATCCTACCCATCTCCGCCCCCGATCCCTTATCCTACCCATCTCTGTCCTGATCCCTAACCCCATCCTAATCCTACCCATCTCCGCCCCCGATCCCTTATCCTACCCATCTCCGTCCCTGATCCCTAATCCCACCCTAATCCTACCCATCTCCGTCCCGATCCCTAACCACATCCTAATCCTACCCATCACCGCCCCCTGATCCCTAATCCTACCCATCTCCATCGCCTGATCCCTAATCCTACCCATCTCTGTCCCCTAATCCCTAATCCTACCCATCTCCACCCCAGATCCCTAATCCTACCCATCTCCGTCCCGATCCCTAACCACATCCTAATCCTACCCATCACCGCCCCCTGATCCCTAATCCAACCCTAATCCTACCCATCTCCGCCCCCGATCCCTTATCCTACCCATCTCCGTCACCTGATCCCTAATCCCACCCTAATCTTATCTTTTGCGTGAGTGGGTTCCACCCCCTGGAAAAATAAGGAAGGAGAGTTTGTAGTCTCAGCCCCTCTACCAAGATATGGGCCTTCCTGCTTACAGTGACCCAAAATGACGATTTTTGCATCATTATAAATCGCAGCTTTCACGATTTGATAATCGCACCAGGCCACACCATGTTGACTTTAATTCGATTAAATGTTCAGCACTAATATTTCACTCCCCTTCTTCTCTTGAGAGCAGAATTGACATGTCTGATCCACTGGCGCTTATTGACTCCAGTTTGGCAGAGATCCGCTCCTCTTCTCCACCTTCACCAGACCTGGACATGGACAATTTCAGCAAGGTCTGCCTTGCAACATCACACAACACAGAGGTTATTACAAGAGCACAGTGCTTGAGTTATACGTAGTTAACATATCTGATGTGTTTGGTTTCTTGATCATGTTAGATCCTTAGTCCTGGCTGCCATGTCTCTGCTGTTAAAGACTCTATCACAGAAACCAAGATCAAACAGAGAGACCAGAATGAAGCGGACACGCTACCTCACACCGACACAGGTACACATATACTCCCACGCTTCCACACATGAATTTCCAGCACAAAACCACATGAACTCAGACCTTTTTGTTATATTGTTTTTGTGCAGTTATACATCAGAGAAGCCTTCAAGAAAATGCAGACTCGGAGCAGGAGCGCTATGACGGTGAAGAGTATTCAGATATTTTACAGTCCCTGCTGCAGATGGCACAGGAAGCGTCCAGCCTCTCCTTCAGTAACACTACACTGCCCTTAGAGCTCTCTTTTGTCATGTAAAGCTCTAGTGCATGGGTCATTTGAAATTGTGATATGGTGGTTGATAGAGAAAAGATTTAGTAATTCGATTAAAGCTGCAGTCCGTAACTTTTTTGGGTTAAAATTTATCCCAAATAAAATTTTGAGCAAGTACATAACCAGCCAGTGTTCAAAACTCTCTGCTTGCCTTAGCTCGAATCAAAGCGGTAAGCTTCTAATACTGTTTTTAATTCCAGTGATACTGGTGGATTTCGGCGGGAGATTCGAGCATGTCTTTGCGTCATTATGTCACATCTGTACACACAGCTGAGTCTCGGCTAGTAGGCTATATTGAGTCATTACGTCACATCTGTAGACATAAAGAAGAGTCTCAGCTAGTAGGCTATATTGAGTCATTACGTCACATCTGTACACACACATCTGTACACATTTAAAAGAGTCTCGGCTAGTAGGCTATATTGAGTCATTACGTCACATCTGTACACACACATCTGTACACATTTAAAAGAGTCTCGGCTAGTAGGCTATATTGAGTCATTACGTCACATCTGTACACACACATCTGTACACATATAAAAGAGTCTCGGCTAGTAGGCTATATTGCGTGTGAGGATGTTGGAGGTGGAGATTTACAGCCTTTTCTCACTGCACTTGATATAATTAAACGTATTAATTTAATGTTGGATCCAGAAAGGTTCAAACGACAATCAGCTGTGACAACAGATTAACTCGCTGTAAAATGCAGAAGACTTTGGACTGAGAGTTTGGAAAAAGAGACTGCAACCGTGGCCATGCCGAGGTACGACTCACGTAAAGCTGATAATTCCTCGAATGATTGCGAACAGAGATGGCGACAAAGAGGAAAAACAGCGGACTGCAGCTTTAAGGGCTCAGGCACGTGTCATTTTGATTTATGTCAATGGTAAATTATAAAAATATTGTACATTTTCTGTCATGTTCTATTTTTTTCCATCAGTGAACTGTAACATGGTAGTACTTCTATACAATCTTGTACAAAACAGTTGGACAGTAAATTTCCCCACTGAAATATAGATATGGTAGCCAACTGTATGATAGCACGAGTGCAAAGTTTGTTTACAAAATGAATTGTGATGTGAAACAGTTATTTTGTTGTACCTGATTGTTATATATAATGTCTACATGTAACTGAAGGTCAAAATATATATTTATTCCTTATACATATTAGTATTGCTTTAGGTTTTTGATAACAGTGTGTTTTTATGTAAAAGTGAACTGTAATAAAAAATAAAATAAGTTAAAATCGTATTCCTGTTTTCTTTTATACACAAATTTAGCTTTCTTTTCATAACATGCATTGAGCAAAAAAACTGGTTTCTGGTGATGAACATGCAGGAAATACATACGTCAAACCACAAAGAGCGGATATGTTTAGAGCAGAACAGGGAAGAGAGAAACAGACACAAAACCAGTGAGTTATGTGAACCTGTCCAAGATGATATTACTATTAGTCAGTCTTTTCCTTTGGAATATTCCTTCATTTGCATTTTCAGCATCATCTGAACCGAGTAAGTATGGTATAACTGCTATTTTAAAAATAAAATGTTGTTTTTTCATTATTGAATAGATTTGACATTATGTAGCCTTTACAAAACATATAACACAAAGTATAAAAAAAACAAGGTTTACAAAAGTAATTTCAGGGTTGGTACGTCGTCTTTTTATTAATTTCCTCCCCATTTTGTGGTTTAATATGCATTTTAAAAATACGGAAGTAGTGTGGTTGTACAACATTTAAGATGTTAAAGTGTAATATGATAACATATAAAGGGCCTAAAAAGTCTGGCCAATTAGATTATTTGATCAGAAGAGGTGACCATTCAGTAGGCTACTACTCAGGAAAATTTGAAATTCTTTAGCAACCTGTCGCTGAGAAGTTGACAAAATGTTCAGACGATTGCTTTTCAAAATGTCTGATCTGCCATGATGTGTAGGCTACACGCAATATGAGCTTACAACATTTTCTGTTCAGTTTTTTACACAAATGACTAAATTTAAATATTCTAAGAATTCTTATGCAAGACATATGATTTCACTATTAATTTTAATCAGAAAAAAATATATAAAAAAGAGTTTTTGACAAAAAAACATATTTCCTGTATGTATAAGCTACGTGTCCTGTCTGGTCCTCTTGGGCCTCATTTATAACCGTAAAACAGGCACTGAAAGGGGCGTACGCCACTTCCGACAGGTAAATTGTAATTTAGATATATATTAGGGCTGCAAAACGATTAATCGTGATTAATCGTATCCAAAATAAAGGTTTGTGTTTAAATAGTATATTGCACTGTGTATAATTATTTTGTATATAAATACACACACATGCTTGTATATATTAAAGAAATATTTTCATGTATAGATTTATATATAATTTATATTTTATGTATAAATATACATATTTTATATATAAATAATATTTTTTTCTTAAATATACATGCATGTGTGCACCCATATATATTATGTAAGCACAAACTTTTATTTTGGATGTGATTAATCGCGATTAATGGTTTGACAGCCCCAATACATATTTTTTTAAACTTGACGGAAAAATTTGCGCACCTGCACGCAAACTCTGACCCATGCTTATGAACGGAGCTTGAGTAAAATGACTTTTTGCTCACTTTTAGATCGAAAATGTAAAGAAAATTAAACATTAATCATATGGGCAACTGGGCAAGTGAATATTTCACCACGCAAATATATTTTTCTCTTTAAAACAAGCGAATCATTCTCAAACGTTTTTTCTAGCCTACGCAGATATACCCTTTCATCAGAACGTTCTAAATTTTGCGTGTGTGTGTGTGTGTGAACGTGGGATCTATCGCCTGACGTCATCATCCAACTTCAGACTGACTTTTTTTTTCTTTTCTTTTTTTTTTTTAAATTTTACCTCAGGAATTTGAAAATAAAGTAAGGTTCTACAAAGTATACCGAAAGTGTGTTTACTATACTGTTTCTCTCATCTTTACCCAGAAATAAACTGCCTTATCATAAATCTGGAATATGTTAACTGCACATGGAGTGAGATTGGGCTCAAGTACAATTACAGTTTCCAGAGCTGGTGCGTATGTTGAACAAAAAAGAAAAACTTGTAATTTTGCATGAAACTATCAAGACTAACTATTTTCTTTTGATTTCTCGTAGGTTTTCACATCACAAAATTGTGAACTGTTCTACATATCACAGGATTAACAGTGTTAATGTGAGCTGCGCGTTCCCCTACCAAAAACCACAAAGGTTTAATACGTTGTACACACGGCTGTACAGTGACAACGGCAGTTTGGTGACAGAGCAAGAACATTTTCTAAAAGAATATGGTATGAAAAGTCATTCATATTTCTTACGACTTGACAACTGTATGGAAATAACTGTTTGATGGATTGATATGTTATACTGTGTTGCTAATCAGTGAAGCTTAACCCACCGTTCAACCTGTCTGTGGTGGAGAGAAAAGATACTGAACTGTGGCTGTACTGGAACGTCACGAATGATGACAAATCATGTATTGAGAGTCAAGTTCGTCACAGGACAGACATTACCTGGAAGGTAGAAAATGTGTATTATAAAAAATAAATTCTGATTGGATGAGCTACATTTGAAGCATGTGCACATGTTATATTTATTTAATACAGCCTTTGATAGCCTCTTAATTTATGAGATATTCAGACAATCAGCAATATTGTGATTTCATATTGGCTTTATGCAACTGTGAAATAAACAAATGAAATTATCACCTTATGGTTGTCTGATAACCAGACGCAAAACTCTGCAAATTTAACAGCCTCTCTCTCTCTCTCCAGGACACCACCCCGGCCAGCAGGAGTTCCTTCATTTTGTCTTTTCCCTCCAAAAAACGGTACGAGTTCCAGGTCAAGGCTCGAATCTCATCAACCTGCGGAGAGTCCAAGTTTTGGAGCGGCTGGAGTGAATCGGTGTACTGGGGATCTTTAAAGACCAACGACACAGGTACTTAAAGGGATAGCTCACTTTGAAATTAATTTTTGGTATGTTTTAGCTTACCTCGAGGGCATCCAAGATGTAGGTGTCTTTGTTTCCGCAGTAGTTTCAATTTTGATATTTTTAGGTCAAACCGTTCTCGTCTGTCAGTCATATAATGGAAGTCTATGGTCACCACCTCAAAGAGCATGCACAGAAAAGTCAAAATTAAACGTGATTTAATGACTCGTGAATGTAAGTACACATTGATGGCCTAAGACACGAAACGAGCGGTTTGTGTGAGAAAACAAACAGTATTTATATCGTTTTTACCTCTTGTTAACAGCTATGTCGAACTGATCTGAATCAGATGTCCAACTGAACTGAACTGAACCCTGTCCTACGTTACGCTGGAAGTGATCTCTCGCGCGTCTACGTCACGCATTGTTTACACGGAGATTTCGGGAGGTTTTACCTTTCACTAAACATATTTAGATATATCGAAATAGTCCGTTGTGATTTCCCGTATATCTAAATATGTTTAGTGAAAGGCAAAACTTCCGAAATGGTTCAAATAAAATGAATTAAGATAATTTGAATGAGCGTAAACGCTTATGGGAACCCTGTTGTGAAACAAAACAAGCAGGGCCTGCTTCACACCTGCCTTGTTTGGTTCGGACTTTCTGACTTTTCCGTTTGGTCCGAATCAAAACGGTCCGGACCAAACAGATGAAATTTGGTTTGACAAAGAGATGTAGTCTTGCTCCAGATCAAAATGTACAAAGGTTTGGTTCGTTTCTAGTGTGAAAGCATTTCTGTATGGTTCGGACTTTCAGACCTTTTACAGGAAGTTCTGGTGGTTCCCGCATAAAAACAGGAAAAATGAGCCATGGTAGCACATGGGGACTTGGGGAGAGGAGGAGATGAGGTTTTAAATTAAAGTATGGTCTGATGACATAATAAGAAGTCAACTTGCCTGTTGGCGTCAATAAAATGTTCGCACGATGAGGATGTTCATTTGCCGAATTTGAACTTGTTTAGTTTGTGTTGCAGGTAATTGTGCCTTAAAAATAACAATATAGTTGCAACGACATGCGTCTGTTCATTCATGTTGTCAAAGTTACCCACCAAATTGACAACACGCACACGTCAGACACACGTCCATTTACAAAACCAATCAATGTCAAGATACAGCCCACATAGATGATGACGACAGGACGCAAGTATGTCACGTAAAGTTCTTTAGTGCGCTCGCATAATTGCAGTGTGAAACCAAACCAAAACTTTCTGAAAGAATAAAATGTATCAAAATGTGAACTTTGGTTCGGACCTTGACGCAGACTTTCAGGAGTGAAAACGCCCTAACTCTGGTATGGTTGTAAGGAAACATGAACGCTACACGGACCAAAGACATGCAAACGAACCAAACACATGACATGATGTTACAGCTTTATTTCCACATTTTAAAGTTCAGTGCTTTAAAATAAAGTTCTAAATGTCTATTCAGGAGTCTCTATGTGACAAATGACAAGTTAGCACATTGGCTTACAAAAGCTAGTAATTATGCGATAAAAAGCGGTTTAGACGTTTTACAAAATACACATCTCGGCAACAATAAAATGTGCAGCACTTTGTTTTACTTCCAAATTATATGTAATATATAATTAAATGAACATTTTACGATTTCAGGGCATATGAATTCATGAACATGATGATTGATGGGAAAAGGCATTAGAGTTAGTGTGGATTTAAGTGCATTTTTACCTTCTTAAATTGAAAACGTATCATTGCAGAGATTTAGGAAATATGCTAAATTGAAAACAATAATGAAAAGTAGGCTACAGCAGTGGCTTTAATGGCAACTCTTTTCCCAGAGAGTCTGGCTCCCATATCTGTGACGACACTGGTGCTGTATACACTGGGAGCCACAACAATACTGGTCATCCTCTCCTGCTTGCTGGTCCATAGTGAGAGGTTTGAATACATTTTATGTATATTAACTACTTTACATTCATTTGAAACATTTTAGATTAATAATTTTCCACAATAAAAGTCCCTAAGTGTTTTATTTACTCGAATCTAATGTTTAATGTTCCTTAGATTAAGAATCATTTTAATACCAGTGGTACCAAATGCAGGACGAAATGTAAACCAGTACCTTACATCCCGTTTTAATTATGATGGCAATATTGAGGTAAGCAGTTTTTTGTTTTTTAGTCATGTACCCTGAATTTGTTTTTTAATTCACCCAGGGGAATGTGAGAATATATCATCTTTTTTTTTCACACAGAAATGGCTGTCCATGCCTAAAGATCTGGAGAGCGGCTTCAAACCCAATTTCACAGAGCGTGCCTGTCCTGTACGTGAGTACAGAATGGTGTCCCAGTCCAGCAGTGACAGTGAAAGCATCCTCTCAAACCCAACAGACCTGTCGTCAGATTACCAATGCATGCATAGCTATTCATCAGCCTCCACCATACCTGGATCTGCCGAAGCCCAGGACACATCTCCTGTGGATAACCCAGTATCTGTCTTAATCTGACGACTGAATTTTAAAAAAAATCAAAGCTTCATCGCAATGTTTTACGAAACTTGGTGAGTTTTATGGCATAAGGTACGTGAACACCAAAAAAATTTGAAGGCATGATTCAAGCAGGTGGTCGTACAAAATTTTTGCTCTCCGTGCAATTTTTGTGTGTACAATCTACAAATCGAACACGATGCAGAAAAAAGTGCTCAACAATGAAGGAGTGACACTCTAAAACATCAAGAGTGCAAAACAGACACACACACACACACACATACAAACACACTTTTACACATATACACACCAATGATTTGTGTTTAAAAAAAATGAAGTCATGATTTGAGCAGGCTAAGTGCTCGTACAAAAATTTGTCAAAAAAAAATTTTGCTCTACGGTCAAAAATGACCGACCATAGGAATAGGAAATGAATGGGAAATTGACAAAAACAAGAATTCTCTACAAATCGGCCATGATGCAAAAAAAAAAAAAAAGTGCTCAGCAAACATACAAACGGGCTACCATCTTAAACATCAATATTGAGAAACATAACATCATTAATAATTATAATTATCATATATAAATGTAATTATTATGAAAAAATTAAATAATAATTAAGTGTTTAGAAATAAGAATTAGAATTTTGATTGATGAAAAGTAGAATGTTAAATGATGAAATCCAGTATTGGCATTTTGCACACATTTTGTTTAAAAAAAAAAAATCAACTTAAAAAGTTGAGTTACATATCAAAACAAGGAATGATAAATGTTTGAAAGTTTTAATTTCTTATATTCTTTTGTTTAAGCAGGATAATGTAGTGTTTGCAATTAAAATCGCATTTTTTTTTATAAAGATGGCGTTTGCTTTCTCCATTTTAGCAGTCATGTAAGCACTTTTTTTGTTTGCTCTTGTTCAGTTTTTTATACATCTGTGTGTTATTATTTTTCTTAACATGTTATGTTCACGTTTATTCGTCATGAAATGTCTGTAGTTATTGGAAGGAAGCATTTTAACAGATTAAGTTAGTCTGATGAGCTTTGTATCATAGTGTAAGATGTGTCTGATAAGAGATATATTTGGCAGATGATGTGTACTGGTGGAAAAACCCTTCACTTCCAAACATGAGTGTGTAATAGTTATTTGTGAAGTTGCAGTTACATTTCAAATATAGAGTTTAATTTTAACTAGACAAGTTGCTATGGGATTTTACTTTTCGATTGTTCTTTTTTTCTGTATCTTTTTGAAATACAAAAAATCTTTATATTAAACAATGTTGGTAGCACCTGTATGTTGCTGAAATGTATGTAAGCTATATTTTTCATCGGGATTTTTGCTTTTCTTGCATGTTGTTCATCAGTAGTTCTGAACAACATGTTTTTGGGATGTTTAACATTTACAATATATGTGAACTTGCAATTTTAATGAATAGATGTATGTAAACAAATATGTTTAAAGAATGTAATGCTTTTAAAATCACTGAATAAAAACAGCTAAACTACAGTTTATCGCAATGTCTATGATGATTATTAACACATTTGAATTAAATTATTATTTTTATTGTAATTTTTTAGTCAATTCTGATGTTGAAGTACTAGGATGCTTATGCATAACTGCAAGAACAATTCATATTTATGAAACAAAAGGTACTTTTAGTTGCTTGGTTTAAACTTAATGTGATGCACTAAAGAATCAAACAGATAGTCTACTAACATTTTTGTTGAAGCAATGAACTTAGTGCAAGATGTATCTGTGATAAGAAGAAAGAAGAAAAAAAAAAGTCAATTCTAGATTAGTGTAGGCTACTGGTGGGAAAAGCCCTTCACCTTCAAACCATGTAGATTAGCGGAGTGCTATTTGTGATTCATGCTGCTGCCAGTTCGTAAATTAGTTGCATATACAGTGCTGGCCAGAAAGAATTAGTTGCCCCTTTGCTAAATATGATCAAAGATAGCTGTAAAAAATATACACTCACCTAAAGGATTATCACCATACTTACTGTGTTTGACCCCTTTTCGCCTTTAGCACTGCCTTAACGGGGATATTGCAGGTTAGAGGACCCAACGAGCATAGAAAAATAATGTAGGAACTAGATTTTCATTAAAATATTCTTATAAATACGCTACAAGGCCTCTGGAGTCGTTTTTGTGAGAAAATTTACTTCCGCGTCTGAAAATGGACGTGGCGGGCGTGACGCAACGGGCGGGAAAGCGCGGTCGATTCAAACAACAATAAACAATGGATCGAAATTACATTTCGGACGCTGAGGAAATACTCGTATGACGGACCAAGCCATAAAGTTATGAGCCTACTATGCTAAAGAGAGCAGTACAGGCCAGGATAATGTTAGACCTGGTCAGAGACAAATTTGTGGTGTGAGGAGAACCAGTGGAGAACAGGACCGATGAGAGACGTTACGTTCGTCAACGAACTACATTGTAACGTTACGTTACGTTACTCACAATATTGCACAGATTATTACGATCATATAAGGCCAGCAGACATTAGTATGTTTAGGGTAAATTTATACTATTAAATGTATAAAAACTAAACTTGAGTATATTTCTATTGTAGGCTACTAAAAACATACTCGGGTACATTTTTTAAATTCTTTTTATTTAATTTTTCACAGTCAATTCTGATGTTCGAGCTGATGTTGAAGTGGGATGCTTAAGCTATAAACTGCAAGAACATCAAATACAATTTATATTTATGAAACAAAGGGTACTTTTAGGTACTTGGCTAAAACTCAATATGACACACAGTGAAGAGTCATTGGTAACATGAACATTTTAAATTATTATAAACTACCCAAAAACATACTATCCATAAATAGCATGCACGTTATTTCTAAGTATAAATGTACATAAATCATGGTTTGTCACATAACATGATAATAGTTTTGTTAGTTTAAAAACTAGATACAAAACAGAATTGCATTTATGCAAGCTGGTCTTCATATTGTTTTCTGAAGCAGTCTCCAGCAGGGAAGAAATCCCAGCATCTCTCTTGGTACATCTTCCACACATATGATTCCTGTCAAACACACACGCATATCCTATATGTTTGAAACACACTTCATTATTGATATGATGAGCTGTGAACATTGTGACATGTCTCACCTGCCCAGTGTGCTCCGTTTCATCCTTGTTGATTAAGTACATCAGGAAGAATCTAGTGAAGAGAGAAACGTTAGTTCTGTTTGTCTGGAGATGGAGAGATTGTATAACATCAGAAAGGTGCCATAAAACTGAATCGCTCACAAATAATTGGCCAGGTTGTGTTCTTCAAGCGTATGCGTCTCAAAGCCATGTGGAGTTGTATCAAAATAATCACTCCCAATACCACATATAAAGCATTTGGTCTGAAGAAGCAATGCAAAGTGTAAAGTCAGGCAGACAGCGAAGTATATACATCCTTAATATGTACTTTTTTTATTGGACAGTAATGATCTCAGTACCTCCATATCTTCTTTTACTTGCTCTTGCTGGTCTCTCAGCTCCCCAAAAGCATCAATGATCAGACCTGCGCAGACAAACGTGCATTGGCATAGCCAGCCATACATCTCCAAAACGTAAGATTTAATGTGGTATTAATTGCTAGGGTGTGACACATGTTGAAAAGCAAGACAAGTCTCACCTTGAATGATGGCCAGCAGGATGACAATGACAAAAAAGAAAAAAGTGATGTCGAAGACCACCCGATAGAGTTCATACTCATCCCCGGCTGGGTCCTCAATCTCGTCTCCTATACCTCCACCTGCCCGCACACCCACGTACATGTGGAACAGATAACACTGCCAAGAGAAAGAGAGAGATTTTTGGATTATACAGCATGTGTTTGGTTAGTGGAGAAAAAATTGAACATAACCCATAACAAATGGTTATACAATTTGTTTTAAGTACTATACATTATTGTAGAAAGAGAATAAAGGACAATTTGATACAAGTAATGTCGTATAACGAAGTGACCAACCGTCATCATGTCGTCACACTTCATGTCCGGCTCATCCTCGTCCTCGCTCTTATTGTAGAACTTCCTGAAGAAGTTGAAGGCCACCACAGTGTAAAGGTACACAACCACAGCCAGCAAACCCACAGTCATCATCAGCTAAAAACAATCCAACAGAGTCAACCGCTGCATCAGTACTGATTTCCAGAAGCAGTTTTGTTTTGTTGTACTGACTGTACCTGTTTTCCATTGTGTGTGACGGAGGAAAGAATTGTACGCAGGGTCTTGACACCCATTGCAATGTCCAAAAGGTGACAAGCAAAGAAGAAATTGTTGTAATGTCCCAGAAGTGACATCACTGTGTACCACACCAGGTAGAGGAAAGTCTGAAAATAAAGAACAAGTTAGTGCACATGACATGAACTTTGCAATCAGTCAATTAAATAAAATTTAGTAACTCACAAAAAAAGACTTACATTGTCTGTGAACACAACTCCAAACTTCCAGATCTTATACTTGATATCAATGGAAGTGAGCCTAAAAAAATTTTATGGAAAGAAAATCTAAAACTCATATGAAAACATTGCCTTGACCAATGGTTTTAGGGCAGAATGATCGGATTATGAAAAATCTATATTTTTGGAATTCTGTTAGGTACAACTAGTAATTTCTTTAAATGTATTATCTTAAATGAATGTCATAAACATATATGCCAGTAGTCATGTATTTTTAATACCATGCAAGCATGGAGTTGTCTGGCTCTTCGTGTTTCTTGTCTGTCTGTTGTTTGCTGACATCCAGCGATGCCAGATCCATTCCCAGCAGCTCTGCGATTCGTTCGCGTCCATAAATATCTCCGTATTTATCCAGAACCTTACAAAATAATCAAGAATAATCAAGCTTTGTAAATGCACTCATTTTAAACCAAAATACCAACTAACATGAAGAATATTGGTTTACCTTTCGCTTAACAAATTTGTCCCAGTAGTTGGTGGGAAAGGAGCTAAAACAATGATAAAGAGTATTAGTTTTTAAAAAATGATTATTATTAAAGGAACACAACTGGCTAGGTCTGCTAATCTAATGAACACATCCTAGCGCATTATGGACCACATACCAGATGTACAAAACAACTTAAAGCTCAAAACTCCATAATAATCAAGATGTCTCCACACTTACGGTGTATTTAGCACCAATCTGTCCCACTGGCCTTTGATGTCATCATCCTCTGGCTGTTCAGTGATGTAAAGACCATCAAACTCCAGCTTTCTCGCCAGCTCTTTTTCTCTCCTAAATATTACCAGTGGAATCTAACAGACCATGACATTATTGATAGCACAAATAAATAGGAATATTCGTGGATATATTCAAGATCAGAATTAAGTAAAAACCCACATGAATCTAAACTGATAATCATATAAGTTCAGGCATTAAAATATGAAACCATTGGTTAAAACCTTAAGGCAGTTGTATCCGATGATGGTTATGAAAGCGATGATGGTGTGCAGAATGGACAGGCCGTACATAGTGGGCTGCATGTATCCGGTACTCTCTTCCAGAAAGTAATACACAGGACCTTCCTCAGCATCATCATCGCCTCCATCCTCTCTTCCAGAGCCATCAAAGTCCTCCCCAGAACCTTCAAACAGCCCAGAGCCTTCAAACAAGCCTGAGCCTTCAAACTCATCAGCATCGCGAGGAGTATCAGATACCTGGACAAATAAAAAGATGGAGCCTAGATTTTATTTTATATATCCTGTATGTGTATGTGAAAGCAAAATGATAGTGAGTCATGCCATTTTAAAAGAAATTTAAAATGGTTATGAATATTTGAAATCTAACAGTGGATTTTAGTGTGAAACAGTAAACTAAGTTTACAACCTTGTAGAAGAGAAGAATGAAGTTCAAGGCGAAGGAGATGAACAAAGCCAGGAAACGAAGGTTGTAGAAGTTACGGGACAAACAGTTCTGTAGATGAACAAAGAAGGACGTGTATATATATGTAATATATTACCGGTCCTAGCAAATAGTAAGAAGGCCTTTACAAGGAAATGGCTCAATGAAGATCCCCCATCAGAAATTTTAAATGATGTGTACGATATGGAAACAAACTCTGACCTTTTCTGACAACATACTAATTGAATTTCATCATATTGGGGGAAATGGTTGAAAAGGTTGCATCGGTTAAATAAGTGGGGGTTTTTTTTTCCATGCAATGAATAAATAAGACTGCGTTGGATGTGTAATCATGTGTAATGCACAACTTTGTACTGCAGAATTTGATCAAAATCTAAATACTAATGTAAGTTATGTATGTCTATATATGTGTGTATGTTGCAAATACATATGTACATGTGTACACAAGAATATGTGTTTCTTATGCAAGGATGAGTATGAACATTTGTATTGTAGGTGTGTATGTTGTTGTTCTTTGGAATCCGTTTCCATTTTTCTGTATTATTTGGGGAAAAATAATATAACATTTTGTCCTACCATGAATTTATTTCTTTGAACATCCAGCTCATTCCAGAGCTCAAATCCTCCTTCTTTGGATTTCTTCTCCTCCTTTGCTTTAGTGGCTTTCTTAGGTTTTGGTTCTTCTGGTGTTGTGTCAGGCTTGACCTCTGCCTCTTTCTCTGCCTTCTCTCTATTCTCAGTGCTGTTACACATGGAAGATGGTCATTAAAATCTTAAACACATCTAAAATACCACAAAGAACCAAACAAAAACACTAAAAGGTCCTTCATTGTGGAGTCACTCACTCTGCTTTCTCAGGTTCAGGAGGACGTTCTTCGATAGCAGGAGGTTGCTCAGGTCCTGCTTCTGTTTTCTGCAGCATAAATAAACGAGGATCAACACCACCAATTATAACATTGGTGAGGGAATCAGCCAAATGAAAACCCACATACCATTTTCCTCTTCATTAACGGAGTGCCCTCTGGAGTTGGTGGTTCCACGGGGGTCGTGTCACCCATATCGCCAAGTCCACCAGGTGTATCGATGCCAGGAATCTTCCCACCATCGTTTTCCTGGGTGTCCTCATCCTCTTCCTCTCCCCCTCCTGCTTCCATTGAGTCTGTTATCCCACCAGTATCCTGCTCCTCTCGACCCCTCGGTTCCCCAGGAAGGTCTCCGTGCACCTCATCCTGAGTAGGATCCGGCATGCTTGCCAGTAACTCGGTCACAGTGATGTTTTTAGCGCCTTCAACTAAACCTCCTCCAAAAAGTGTATGCCAGATGAGCAGGAAGAAACCTTTGCACACACTGTAAATGAAATGGAGGATGCCCATGAGGATTGTCCACAGGAAGGTAACAAGACCTACCACAATTTCCTTGATGGTCATCTTTCTGAGCCTACGGTACTGTCTGCGAATATTCCTAAAGGTGAACATGCCCAGGAAATTCATGACGCTTTGGATGAAATCGGCAAAGGCAGAGCTTGATTCTGGCTGGCCCTCCTCACCACCACCTCCCTCTTCATCACCGCCGCCTCCTTCAGGTTCCTCCTCATCATCCTCTTCTCTCTCCTCCTCATCCTGCTCAGAAATCTGTGAAGCAATATTCATCTCGAAGATGGTGTCCTCACAGAAGTTCACAAAAAGCTCCATCTTCTCCGATTCGCCGCCCTCGTTGACCACATCGAATATGAACTGCCGCTTGGATTCTTTGACTTGAGGCATCTCCCACTGTTTACGATTCACCTCACTGATCTCGAAGTAGATTCTCTCAATCTTCCTGCTGGCGCCCATTATCTCAATGCGACCCAAGAATGGGCGGAAATAGTTCAGAACGCTCTCAGCTTGTTCGAGGAAGTTCTGCAACCTGGTATCATGAGGAACGTGTTCAGAGAGGTTAGTTAGCAGCACCGCTATGTTAAATCCGATATCTTTTGCTGGCTCCTGGAACCGATTGGCGAACTCCTCATAATGAATCATCTCATTCTCATCTGCCTCAGAGCAGGACAATAGAAACTGGATCTCTGAAGGTGTGTACTGTTTCTGGCTGTCCATGGCTTTCTGGAAGTCCTTCTTGGATATCAAACCTCTGGGGTCTGTCACATAGTCGCGGAATGCATCGGATGCAACAATGTCCTTTAGCTTGAGGAACATGTCGAAGAATTTAAGGATCATTTCTACGTTACTGGAGGATTCCACTAGCATGTCCACCATTTGCCGAGCAATGGTGCCATTTACGACATTACCTGTCAAGCACAGAGCCATACAGTGAAATCAGATCGAGACTGAATAATGTGAAATTGATGAATATAAACGCAAGATTGTCTTCGTACCCTCCAACAAAGACAATAGCATGACCACCATGTCTTTCTGAAGGTCCAACAATTCCTTCAGGAGACCAATCTGACTGGAATCCTAGAAGAAAGCAGAATTGACACACTAGATGCAAGTATACATGCTGATACTTTAACTATGTTAAATATATAATCTAAATGAACAGATTTTCTAGAAATGTCTATTTTTGTAAAACTAAAGGAACATATCAAATGTAACATTTTTGAATAATGTTTTAAATCAAATCAAAAACAACAACAAAGGTCAATAGACATAAGGTCTTCATTATTTGTAAAGGTTTAACTTGGTTAACTTTACTAATAACTACAGTAGCTTTATAAGACACTTTACCTTATCAGATTGGCTGAGGATTATGTAAAATTCTGCAACATTTAAATGCAGGTTATTGCATGCAGCAACAATAACAGGGATTAATAATTATTAGAAACAGAAACACCCTATACATACAAGAGATCATGAAAATCATAAAAACCAAAATCAATCAGCACACTAAAGGTAGAATTATAGAAAGGACAAAACACTTTTTTAATAAAATAAAATCATGTAAAGCTGAAAACACATGGTTCTTTTGGGTAATGTTAACGGCCTCCCATCCATTTTCTCAGGCTGTTTGACAGGCTGTTTTTTGCCTTCTTTAGATTTTTAGATCTTAAGTAAATTTATCATGTTAAAAAATAGATTAAATGTTAAGTACTTATACTAAAATATACAGGAATAAAAACGATTTTTTAATTCTTCCAAATGTATATTCTTGGGTTCAAACAACCTGGATTTAGGAATCTGGAACATGAAGGGGGAAAACTCAAATACAATCATTTCAATAGATAAATAGAGTGATACATACTCGTCCCTGTATACGGCGTGTGAAAAACAGTTTAATTCATCAGTAAAGCATTGAGAGCAAAAACAGTATTACATTCCAACACACTATTTGTTTACAATTGAAAAAGGAATGTAACATGTTCTTAACATTAGCATGTAATTCAGTTCTACATGAGCATCTACTATAGTAATTTTCATGCATTTTCTATTAGCCGCTAAAAATAAATAAGCTCTTTTAGTAGTAATTAAATATATTTGTCACTGGTAAAAGTGTGCATCTCCACTGACAAGACTATAGATTTATGCTCTATACAAGATGCTGTTATACTCTACAAAACTACTCGTATTTCAAGTTGAGAAATTACACTAAGCCAACTTCAAGTACATGAAAGTTTCAGCTATGTGATCTAATGCATTCAGAGAGAATGAACACACAAAATGTTTATATAACAGAAAAATCAATATTAGATTGGTTACCTGAGCCAGTTTCATCATCATATGGGCAAACACATGCAGAAAGCCCACCACAGCATCCCACAGGCGACTGTGGGCCAGGGATTGCTGGTTGCCTGTGCAGGGACCCTGAAACAAGGATAACCTCAAGTAAATAATAAAGTGTATAATTTTAGGGGAAATGAACATACTAAAAATAATTCTATTAAGGAGACTATTCAGCTTATGCAATCACAAAAGGGTTTGTGCAACTACATTTAGAGACCAAAATGAATATAGTAAATAAATGGAATAAAAATGTCAAATTGAAAAATGATAAAAATGATTTTTTAGAAAATAAACTGCACCTGGATATACTCGGTAAGGCTGTTGAACACCTGTTTGGCCACAGCCATGGCTTTAGAGAAGTTTCTCTTGCCTGGTTCATCTATGATGTCTTTTCCTGAGTAATACCAGTAGAAATCACTGATAGACTCCTGGAGAGGGAAAATAAATGCCCACAAAGGAATAAGTGTGCTAAAATCCAAATATAAGCAACATTTTATCTAGGTTTTCCAGGGTAAAATGACCTCACCTGTAGTCTAAGCAGGTAATCCACTGTGCAGATAATGACATTGATGGTGGTGGTGCTGCCTGTCTGTGTTCTGAGGTAATTCTGGAAGTCTAAAGTGAAGTAAACTCACAGATGGTTAAACACACTATCTGCACTACAGACAGACATTACATTTCCAAAACCCTTGAAACTTGGCTCTTCAAATTCACACTGTGTTTGAAAAAGATGTTACAAAAATCACAAGATACAGGTTTAGAACATTACATTATTACAGAAACCTATTGGATTCACTTGAAGAAGAAAAAAATCTACTCTGTTTTTCTGAATTAATGAGTTAATTATCTCAGAATTACGAGATAATTTTTCATGGAAAAAAAAGGTTTTGCTCTGTTTTTCTGAATTAAGGACTTGAATGTCTCAAAAACTCAAAAATTCAGACAAACCTTTTTTCCATGAAAAATGATCTCGTAATTCTGAGATAATTAACTCGTTAATTCAGAAAAACAGAGCAAAGATGTATTTTCCGTGAAAAATGATCTCGTACTTCTGAGATAATTAACTCGTTAATTCAGAAAAAAAGAGCAAAAACATATTTTCTATTAAAAATGATCTCGTAATTTTGAGATAATTAACACGTTAATTCACATAAACAGAGCAAAAACTTTTTTCCAAGAAAAATTCTCATAATTCTGAGATAATCAACTCGTTAATTCAGAAAAACAGAGTAGATTTTGCTTCCTCAAGTGGGTGCAATACGCTTCCGTATAATATGATGGTGTGTAAAAGTAAAACAAATAAATAAATAAATGGATGTGGGGCACAAATTGCAAAAAAAAAAAAATATATATATATATATATATAAAAAAAAATCAAGGTATACATTTTCATATTCACTTGGCGGTAAAATCTATGTGCAGATTCAGGATCCACCCACCATTGTTGTGACCCTCACAGAGGAGCTGCAGAAAGCGGAAGAGGTCACAAGTGAACTCATCATCAGCCATCACCTTCTCACCTAGGCGAAGGAAGGAAATGTGTGGGAATACATCACATAAAGGTGAATCTGTCTTTATGACACTCATCACAGGTTTAGTGTAGGGGCAGTCTGATTAGAACTGAGAAGAGAAAGAGCGTAAGTGGAAGAAAGTGAGATTAAACAGCTTGGAGAAAACAAACTGCCTCAAATCTCTCATGTTATGATGTTAGTGCAAACTGCAATATTTTTGTCCTTTTCTGCAAGAGATAATCAGGAAATTTAGTTCTTTTTGGGAGCGTTTCAATCCACTGCCCAGTTCAGTATTAAGTATGCTGACCAATGTGCACTGAAAAGCACCAATAAAGCTAGCATGAGTTGCTCACTATATTCACTGATGTCCTTAAAAATCATCAGAAATGCAGGACAAACTAATATTTCATAATGGTGCTGTAATTTTTAACAGATATAATAACAATGGATAAAAAAATGATATCTTTTTAACTGTTTAACTGATTCCCTTCCTAAGAAACTAGGGAGTGGAATGAGACACAGCCTTTTGCACAATCACTAGTTCTTTAACTCCGACTCAACTATAGCAACAAAACGAGTCACATCACAGAATTACTTTAACCAAATAACACGAAACATACTATACACATACAATAATGTACCTATATAAAAACAGATACAAGAACACTTATATACAATCACAGAAACTGTGGCTCAGAAACAAAGGGGGATTAATTACAACATGAAGCCCTAACAAAGATGGTAATTTAGCATGCGGGACAGACCTACTGCAATCCTAAACCTCAGCTGTGTTTAGGGAGGGAAGGAGGAGGTCATTACACAAAGCTAAATTCATGAAAATCACAGTCAGTCAAAGCTTTACAAATCGCTCCTTTGATAATTTTGTTGCATATAAAATTCACAAAATGGTAAATTGCAATGCTAAACTGCTGTCCACTAACATAGACTAACGGTTTTGATGTGAGCAATTATGAATGACTGATTATTGGATTAAATATGACCTCATGGCAGGGGTAAATATAGGAGAGCATAAAGGGTTATGTTAGGTGCAAATCGTGAAGCCAAGACAGAGTTAGATCATATTTAGCTCAATTCATAACCAATGGCTTGATTTGGTAAGTTTAAGTTATATGTATTTGTTAGGAATTAAAAAAAACCTCAACTTAAGAGTTTTAGTGTGGTCAAATGAAGACTTGGCTACTTTTCCTAAGTTTGCCTCCTGAACACACACATTTTTTTTTTTTACTCAATTCTACAATGTTAAGTGGGTGAAAAAAACTCCTTAATCTTGTATTTGGGTCAAAAATGGGCACCCATAGAAATGAATGGGAAAAACTGTAATTTAGAGCATTCTAAAATAAGCCAAAATAAGACACCAGGTGACAGCAAAGTCACTTCATCTTTAGGTTTTAGCTCTAAGAACATATTGGAATGATATTTTAAATGTAGCTAAAAAAAATTAAAAAATAAAACATAAAAATAAGCATAATTTACATAGAAAATATGGTACTTTTTGAAGTAAATAAATTCAAAAATACCCCCAAAATAAAAAAAAACACCATAAATGGATAGACAAAAAATTATCGAAGACAGTGATATAACATTTATAATAAATAAAAATTCCTCTAAGAGTCCTCTGTGCCCACATTTGTCCACAATTACAGGATTAAGGGCTATACAGTGAATACGGTTTGAGGGCTACAACCCTTTTCAATAGAAACAAAGCTAATGCTTATAAATGCACAAAAGGAAAATTCATTAATGCAAAAACCAACATTATGAATAAAAACATTTGTCTGTTACACTGAATAACTAAAATGCAGAATATATTTATTGTATAATTTAATGTATAGATTAGACACAATGCAGAGTTCTAGAGTTACAGTAGATCTGTTTCAACACTCAAGGGAAGAAAGAAAAACACTTCAGTCACATTCTGTCAGTGTGAATGAATAAGTCGGATACGCAGTTCTGCGATCTGTACTTGTGATGTGACTGAGTTGTTTTTACAAATCCTTGAGTGATAAGATTCATATATATATACACTTAAACGTATATATATTCTTCAAAAACCAAAAAAGCTAGGCTTCAAACAAAACTGATTTCAGAGATATAAAGGGACAGAGAGGAGTGACAGGAAGAGAGAAATGAAAAGAAGAGGGACAGAGGGATTATTTACCCCGTTCTAGCTTCATGTCTGAGGCCCGTGACGGAAAGGAGGAATGAAAACAAAAGTATAGCCATGGAAAAAGAGGGATGGTGAGTTGAGGGCAAACAGACGACATGAAGTGAAAAGGGAATTAATTATGGCCAATTTCATAATCTGTGTTTATTGACATCATATTAGACTAGATTATTACATCTGGAGACAAATGGAGTATATGACAATATGATTACAATTAATTTATTCAACTGATAAATTTTGTCAACCAAAAATGATGAGCATTTCCATGTTAGAATGGCCAAACATGTATGATTACAGATGGATGATTGAATATTTGCCATGTGTAATTTTGCCAAGACAGTCTACATGTTTATGGATTGTTATATAGTTACTCTGTACTTTTAAATTACACTGAACCAAATTATAAACGCAAGACTTTTGTTTTTGCCCCTATTTTTCGTGAGCTGAACTCAAAGATCTACAGTAAGACTTTGTCTATGTACACAAAAAGCCCATTTCTCTCAAATAATGTTCATAAATCTGTGTTAGTAAGCAAAACTATTTTTAAGTCTTAGATCTTTGAGTTCAGCTCATGAAAAATTGGGGGGAAACAAAAGTATTGCATTAATCATTTTGTTCAGTGTACATTTGATAGGACTATGATCTTCAGAGCTTTCTGTATTGAACTAAAATCTTCCTTTTGACCATTTATTGGTATTGTCTTGATGAAAAAAGACTTACTTGTTCCCTCCTCTGACACCATACCTAGACCCTCTGCTTTATTCTGCCTCTCAAAAGCGTTCAGGTCCAAAACACTGCAAAAGATGCCCAAACACTGATTTAATTAATAGAAAATTAAATGAAAATAAATGAATACTACACAAGAACCAATGAGTAACACAATATTAGCAATCTAGTAACTATTATTAACCAACAAGAAACTCTTAAAGAACTAGTAAGTAAAGTGGTACTTTACTATTAACTAATCAATAACTACTATTTTTTAATGCTTCCCAAAGAACTACTGAAAAGGTTTAATAATTTGTGCATTGCTCTTGTGTAGTTATTCATTAACGAGGGAACCGTATTCTAAAGTGTTACCAATGAATCTAGTGTGTGAATGTGGGATGACAACAGCCTCCACTTAAAATATACCTGCATGTCTGCATTAGAGCCTGGACACTGAGGAAGAAACCCACATCTTTCTTGTCTTTCAGATATTCCAGCATTTTCTGCAAGCAAATAGTCAATCCTGTTACAGCTGAGCATTAGTGCAGGGTCTAATTCACTGTCTTGCCTCCATGCAGACTCTTAACTAACCTGTTGGACCTCGCAGTTCCCGCCATTTAGAATAGAAATACCAAGTTTTAAGGTGGAAGAGACCATGCACCCTGTCTCACCTGAAAAAAAAGCATGTAGAACAAAAAAAGGAAAGTTTTATTTATTTATTTATTTCAAGCAAGATAGTGTGACAACAGAAAAGATAGACAATAATAATAACTTTTAACACTTATGCTTGAAATGGAGTGGGAAGAAGTAAAACTTATTAAACTCCACCCCAGTCTATTAAAGATTTTACACAACAACAAAAAAATAGCTGCTTCCTTCATCAATAATCTCAAAGAGAAAATGATAATAATAATAATAATAATAATACCTCATTTAGAAACAGTGGATGCACAAGTCAAAACCAAACACTCGTACCATACATATTAATAATTTACAGATATTTCCACAGGTAATGATTATCAAATACCAACAATGGTAAGTTCAAGCTTAAAAAAAAGACTTGAACAGATCCAATAGTGCTTGTGTGTGTAAGGGTGAACATGTACCCTTGCAGGCACTAATCATCTGTAGGACCATCTCAGCAGCCCCTCGGTTGTGTAGACGGGACTGCTGGTAGAGGAGTCTTTGCTTTTCCATCTCTTTTTCCTGTTAGGGTTAAACATGGAAAATATGAACAGCCTGAAAGCCTTTAATGCGTCCCATTTCTGCTCAATCTCATGCTCACTGCTCCTCTACAGCAATTGAACTACAGAAACCATAACTAACCATAAGAGTAAAATAATCTTTCTTTATAAGCGATAATGATTATTTCTCAGTCAGTCTTGATCAGGTGCTACTTGTTATTATTTGTGTGCTTTTCAAAATCCTGTTATGAAAATGTTGTTTATTATGTCTGTGGGCGTCAGACAATATGTAGTATGACAATTAAAGTCACATGCAGTTTCATGTGTTGTATAAAGAAAATGATCTCAGTGGGTATTTCTAATTTTAGAAACTGGTATTTCTGTAAAGACGACAAAGGACATCAGCGAGCATGTACATTTATTGTCTTACTCAGCTCAGAAACAACGAGTAAGAAAAACGTCAGTGAGCCGTAGTTGCGGTCTCATTAGTGAAAGTTTGTGGACAAAAAAGGTTGATTGTCTATTGTCAATAGCATAAGATTTATGATCAAGGTTACATCATTTGCATGTAGTTTTTCACCACAAATTTGGATGTTAAACATTTTAAAACTAAGTTGCAATAATGTGGGCTAACAACATCAACAGAAGTCTCGTAACTCACAGCAAGGCTGTCTTTTCATCTAAATCAATTTCTCTAAATGGAAATACACAAATTGATTTAAATTACATGACTACACTTATAGATAATAGACAATGGACCTTTTTGTTGACAAATTTTGCTAACATGTTCTCACCTTAACTGAAAACTTGTAAAACCTAGATATCTGGTCTGACGGCATTCTCGCATGTATTTCTAAATATTTTATAAAACAAAGTGGATATATTTTAGTTAAAATGCGACAGTGTTAAGGCGAGATTGGGTGATTGTGAGTGCTTCACATTTATAAAAGATTTGGGCCTTCTTTTTATATTCTAAAAGTCTGTTCTCTTTCACTCGTGTTCATTTAGCATGCTTCCAATCAACCCCACCATCATCATTAGTTATGGGATAGTCATACTAATTTCCCACGTTTGTCTATCAGAGCAAACGTTGGACTACAGTAAACTCTCCTGATGGCTTTGCATCTCACATAGAAACAAAGAGCCATACAGGTGTTACTCATCTACAGCTCCGTCTCCTGTTGGGAAGTGAACGATAAACAAAATACACGTAACCCTTAGCCCGTGCTACCAAACATCATACAACTTATTTTGAAATAAAAAGGAATTGTAATTAAATGCAATTATTTTAAATTGTAGATATTTTAACAAATACAATTCCATAATACTATAATTGAAATTATAATAAAAGTAAGCTTTTTATAGCAAAAATAAAAGATAGTGCAAAGTGAAAATGTTGAAAGCAAATACAAAAGCTGGCTTGCTTTTCCAAAAATTAAGTGAATCATAAAAAGTATAATTAAAAAATTACTGCATGCATAATATACCCCCCTCCCAAACCTCCCACCCCACCCACGCCACCCCCCTCCCATGTAAGCCTGGCCTAAACACCCAAAAGTGTGTGCATTTTTTCTTACCATGTCTTTAGATAAACGTTCAGCCTGAGAGTGCATGTGTGTGTGTGTGTGTGTGTGTGTGTGTGTGTGGCGTGTACAATCCACTTCATCATAAGTGTTCCTGTGTGTTTGTTCCTCTGTAAGTGTGTGTGTAGACTAGGAGACTGCTCTGGCTTTAACTGTAGTCTGTGTGTCAGTATACTATGTCAGTATGGGGGAAAACATTGATTAGTCATTTTCACAGAATTATTGTGAATGAGTTAAAGTAAATTAAGGTAAGAAATAGAATAGAAAGCATCAATATGACATATAAGCCATCATTAGTGATTACTCAAACTGTGAAACAGCATATTAGCATGTTCACTTGATACCTCACAGCAAGAAAACAATAAATCATCCAGCATATCATTAAAAAGCAATCATAAGGATATAGTAACTTTTACAGCTGCAACAGGTGATATTTCACACTGAAATCTCTCTGAAGTCAACAATCCAGGAATTGTATAATTATATAATTGAAAATATAAGAATTATTTAAAATAATATGTCACATTTTTAAAATAATTTTATACTCCCATTTTGTTGATTTTGATTTCTCTATGAAATTCACCCTTCTAAAAAAAAACATTTCCTTAAGCCCAAACTACTAAACACAAACTGTAAAATAAGTCCAAATATTAGTCTTTTTCATATGTAAATTGTCAAGTAAATCTATTCAGGTATTTTTTTATGCATTTGTGTTTAGTTGGTGGCTCAAAGCTCTGTCAACTGTAAAAAAATTTTTTTAAAGATGCTGCAGTGTGATGATGTTATTAATACATTAATAATGAGTCAGATGGAGAGACAGATCAGAGAGCACAGGCCAGTCAGAGAAACATAAGATGGGATGTGAGGAAATGGATGGATGGATGATACAGTGGTTGGTTTGGATGTCACTCTACCGCTTCTGTGTCATCCCCGTCCCCAGCCCCCGGACTCCCCCTACCATCTCTGTCTGTCGCACCTCAAAGGACATCTCATCCTCTCCACCCTCCTCCTCTCCCCCCTCATCCTCTTCACCGATGTGGCAACTCTAAAATCCAACAGAGATGAACCAAGAACATTACATAGTGTGAGAGCCTATACATGAATGGCTTTATACAGTACATTTATAAAAGTAACAGTAAAGTAATATGTACATATTCTATATACAATATATACATTTTAAATCACAGAAAAAAAGAAAATGAGAATAAACAATAGTAAATGGGTGTTAACGGTTTACCATAAGACAAAAGGTCTCACCTTAGCCATGATATCAGCATATGCCATGTATAAGTAATCTATATCCAATTTACTGTGACAGGGACAAGGAGATAAATAACAATGATTTAAAGACAACCACTGATGTAAAAGGTCTGCATTGTTTGAAATGATAATTGAACCTACAATATCTTTCTTTTATATATATATATATATATATATATATAATATAAAGATATAAATATATATAAATTAGGGCTGTCAAACGATTAATCGTGATTAAACGCATCCAAAATAAAAGTTTGTGTTTACATAATATATGTGAGTGCACTGTGTATAATTATTTTATATATATATATATATATATATATACACACACATTCATGTATATATTTAAGAAATATTTTCATGTATATACTGCATATAGATTTATATATAATTTGTATTTTATATAAATATAAATATTTTAAATATAAATAATATTTTTTTCTTAAATATACATGCATGTGTGTGTATTTATATATATACAAAATAATTATACACAGTGCACCCACATATATTATATAAACACAAACTTTTATTTTGGATGCGATTAATCGTTTGACAACCCTATTATAAATATATTTTTTTGTATAATCAGAATATACATTTCTAAATCGAGATATCATATGGACAATTTTTTTTAAATGTAAGTTATTGCTTTTATTTTGTAATAGGTGATGACATTACATTGACAAAAACCATGTGAACAAAGTGCTTGAGCTGTCTGTATAACAGTCACTGGTTATAACCATGTGATCATCTCTTTTTGCACCAGGAGCCAATTGTGTTGTTCACTAACAAGGGGTGTGACGGGATCTCACCTCTTCTCAGTGAGGGCAGTGCGACTAAAGTGAAGGATGAGCTGATGAAGAGGGTCTGGCTTTGTCTCCTTTTCCTCTTCCTCCTCTTCTTCCTCCTCCATTGCTTTCTACATCAGTGATAACAAAAACTATATCATGTGGATTACATCACAAAAAATGCTAAAATGCAGCTGTAATTTTTGTGAATGTGTGAGCACATACAGATAGGTCATCAATCATCCTGTCCTCAAAGGAATATCCTTCGGTGTGGATCCAGTTCCGCTTGTACCCATCCAGGAACATGTTAGATGCTCTATGCCTGAAAGAGAGATGGTAAACATTTATTTGTCTCCGATCCTGTTACCCCCTTTTCTCATCATATTATTCCATGAAACAAGCCGAATGACTCTCGTATGATCATGTTTCGTCTTACCTGGGTAAGTTGTAAAGGGGAGTCATCCTGAAACAGGCCACCACCGCTCTACGCCGTTGCTTCGACAGCAGTTTGTGCCAAACCATTTTTTTGGACTTGAAAGGATGCTCTGTCTGAAGACGTAATGTAACAAAAGACAAGAGACAAAACAACCATAGTTGGGTTGCAAGAACATAATTATTATTTTTAAATCTGTTTTTAAACTGCATTTATATTTGGCTATTATTAACCCTTTAGGCGCCAGAGTTTTTTTCCTAAAACGTTCGATTTTGACATCTTAATTTCAAAAGGCTATATCTTAAAAGTGATAAAAGATAGAGACTTTCTGTAAATTAGAGAAATACTAAGGATGACCCAAAGTTTATGTTGGGATTACATTTTCCCATCTAATTTGTGTATTATGACGTGATATGGTGGTGGAAATCATGGATTACAGAATTTTCATGAAAAGTCACATGTTTAAACGATAAAATGCAGCATTTCTTTCCCCCCAAAATGTCCATCACCTTCTGTATGCAATATTGAGCAATACTGAATGCTCAGGTATATATTAAGTAGTAAACAAACTGTGTAAATAACTACTAATAAATGGTAGAAGCAAACCGAATCCATGTAGTGCTTGGCCTTATATATATATTATTCATATGACATAAAAACAAAAGTAGACAAAACCTGTTTAGTTCAAAAGCTGATACGAGAAGTGCACAACTTTAATGCAAATGCAGGCAACAAACTGGCGAATTTGACTGGGATACTGAAGTATAGTGGTAGTCTGAGTGAGTGGCCATCAAAATGTGATCTATTTGAGTTGCACTAGGATTCAAACTCACCACTTCAATGTGGTAGAGAACCGCAGAGACCTCCTGAACCCGCTTCACCACTTTCTCTGGAGCATCTGCATCTTCTGCCTTTCCAGCCATTTCCTTATACAGTGCCATCTGCCAGCGCATAGACGGGTTATCGACCTGAGAAGAGACAGATAGCATTCGGATTCCTGCAAAAACACTTTAACATCAACACCAACACAAACATGCAGACATTCACTTACCTTGCCCTGGAGGTGCAGGTTATTTTGCAAGAACTCTCTCACCTCCTCATCTGTGTCTTTCTATGGGTCAACAACACAACAGACTGGCTGAGTTTACCTTTTTTGCTGACCAACCTAAGTGAAACTTTATGACAACATCTAGGCTTGTGAGATAGATAGGGAGACAGACAGATATGTGGTGATCACACTACCAAAGAATAGCGTGTCTTGGCCAGGTTAATGAGCTCCTGGTCTGCAGGAGAGCACATGTTAAGTCCAATGGGAAGCATTTTCTTCAGGGATGCTACAATGAGGGACGTTTGAACAGAGTATCGATCTCCACGTCTCTTTTTCTTGGTACGCTCCACATCCGAGCCACCAGCCTGAGATGAAAGTAACATTCAAAGCATGACGACTGATTTAGACATCATTAAATAACTTTCAGTGAGACCTTATGGCATCTTATGGAAAGATGTTCATATTGAATGAGTCTGTTGACCAAAAAAAATGGAAAAATGGAATGAAAATTTTACATTCATTTCATTGAGCAAAATACAAAGCTTCCTGTCCCCTAACAAGGACCTAGACCACTAAACAGAACAATCCATCCTTACTTGAAGACATTATTTCAGTCATTAGGTTTTATCTTTAAGTTAGGACTTCTTTAGAGAACAGTCCTTGGAAAGGAGTCATTCTGATTATAGGGGTAATTAAGTAGGGTAAATAGGGTAATTAAGAGGGAAGGGAGGGTAAATGTTCAGGGTTGCTTTTCATCAGAATAGACAACAACATTGGGGCTTAGTGGGGAAGACAAGGCGTTTTGGTCTGAAGCTAAAAATCTCAATTCTACTCTTAACAGAGGTGACGACATTAAAAAAGGGGGAAATTCATCCAACTGAAACATCATCTTAGCGTGGACACATAATAAAAGCAGGCACTATAGATAGGCTGGTACTATAACGTGTCAGTGCAGCTTAATACACTCCATGCATTGAAAAGGTCTGACATGCACAGTCATAACAAGCACAGTCTCAGGGGGAGGAAGAGGAACTAAAAAAAACACACGGTAAAACTCACTCTGTGGCGTTAATTATTCATTAATCGCTTTTGAATCATTTTGGGTTGCCAAAGTTAAGAAACTCAACCCACAGAGGCAATCATTTCAGTATGCGTGATAACACATGTCCTGTTTGCACCAGTTTTGCCCCTCCAATCCAGCCCTTTTTTAAAAAAATTCAGACATTGGGTCTCATTTAGAAAACATGAGCAAAATAAATTGTGTGCAAAGATTAAGTAAGAATGGTTTTAGACAGAAAATCATTCTGCTCATGCTTCATGAATGAGAACTATTGTGGGTGAAAGAATATATAATTTGGTGTACTGACCCTGTGGTCTTGCTCTTAACCTTGTGAAGTCATTGTGAATCATATTTTATGCATCAGGGCAGGCTTTTTATGGCTTATATAGTGAGAATATGAGGACAAACTTGGGGAGGACAAGAAACACCTCAATTTTATTTATATGGCCAAAAGTAAGATTAAATTATGATGGCTTGAAATGAAATAAATCAGTATAGTAGACTGCTGAAAAATCTGTTGTACACAATCTACTTCATGCCCTCTGTTGTCTTATTGATTTTAAGTTTATACTTTTACAAAGCTCTGTAATTTTTCAATGCAATGAAACACAATGATGATTGAGAGATAATAAACGTTCCTCAAAAGTCTGATGCATCATATTTGATACTCACATTTTCACATGACTTTTATAAATGGTATATGGACTGCATTTATATATTTATATTGTTTGTAGGCAACCTACATGAACCACTGAGCCACACCAATAATAAGAGATAATGATTTATGGATAATCAATTAAAGCGAAGTAACTTCAGTCCAGTAAGTGTTCATCTTAAAGTATAACAAAGTGTGTATAGTTATTCTTACATTTACTTTATAAAACTTTCGAAAGATTTCTTAGCAAGACACATGAACACAAAATGAAGGGGGATGTTTTACTTAAAGGCTTTTAAAAGTATAAACTATCAATAAGACAACAGAAGCCATGTAGTAAATTGAATACAACAGGTTTTCAGCAAAGTTTTAATCACATAGATAATTTAGAGGACTTAGAAATGTGTGTATCAAATATGATACAGTAGGATTTAAAGGGTTAAGACCACCGAGAATAAAATAAACATGGCCTTGGTGTGGGTCTCATTGCTTGGACCAACATGTCTTGGTCTGGGTCTTGGGTATCTGATATTGTCTTAGTCCAAATAAAATAATGAATGTATTTTGTTGTGGTTGTACTAAAGGATTTGTTTCAGCTGTAGACCACTGTGTTAATGCAACTAACAATTAAAGCCAAGTTTTACAGGTTACATTAGTTCCTAAAGTATGCAAGTCTAATTCCCTTTTCCACAATCAGACCTCAATCATTTGTTTTTAATTGATCAGGGGTCATGGGCTAAAAGGGGTGGATAGGGGGACAAAAATGAAACATCATGGATATGTAAGCCATTGGATATAAGTACAGAAACAATTCCAGTTAAGGTGGGATTAAGTAGGCACACATTAGAGGATGGACTCTAAATGTCAAGTCCATGGACTCTAAACTCTTTGTCAAGGAGGATGATGAAATATAAATTAATTGAGGTCAAATTCCGTCACATGAATCCAGTTTAGGAAATTAACTGAAGTACAGTTTGAATAGTTTGATGTGTGAATTTCTACAAATTTCTGAGTCTCAGTTGACTTCCTGAACAGATTAAAAATTGACCCCAACCTGCAGCTGTTATACAAAAAGGAAAGGAAGATAAGAGATGTATGAAGATCCCATCCGAACTACAGTCCAACAGATGCAAACCGCTGTACAGGGTGATGGCACAGGCCTCCAGGGGCTTGGACCCTCTGCGACGGACATGGAAACAAGTGCCATGAGCCTGACTCTACAAAGAGTTCTTTCATCAAACGCCTCTATTCAGACTCCCCCCCTCACACACTGGCAGGACGACAGGCGCCCTGTGGCCCTTGTGTCCGTGGGGATGGGATTTTTCTTGAGACTGAGAGAGCTCATCTTTTCATAATATACCCATTTAACATTGTGTTATTATATTCTTCTCAATTCCCATTATCCCTCAAAAATCTAATCCATAAAGAGCACTAAAGACATCATTTTATGGAAAAAAAACACCATTATGCTTTTTCTACACATGAAACATGTAAAACAAAAACAAAGAGTGTGTTATTCCTATAGACACCAGTCTTGTCAAACAGCTGTGAAGTCACAGTTATGAGTGCCAGTGTGTTGGGGGAGTTGATGAAATGCCTCCCCCCCTAAATGTGAGGTGCCATGCGGTAGCACAGCAGTCGTGCAGACAGAGAAGCTAACCTCAGAGTCCCCGGTCTAGAAACCCACCAGCATCCAGAAGAGAAAAAGAGGCCAGGGCACAGTCAGAGAGAGAACACCATTAACACTGTCACCTAAATCCTGTAAAACGCATCCGAAAAGCACTTGCACATAATACCAGTAATCACTGGCGTCTTGTGGCAGCAAGAATGAACTCAACGTCTTAAAAACATGAAAGCACCGCACACTTTACCTTTTGACGTGGGGCTTGATGCCAAATCAACCAGTGGCTGGTGGTTTATTAACAATTTTAAGTTTTAAGAAGAAAAAACTGACTGAAAATCAGAGTTAATATTGTTAACTAAAACTAACTGACAAAGTTTAAATACAATCTAAATGTTAGATGAAAAACTTTAGAAAAACTTTTTTGCCTTGGCAACTGAAATCAAATGCAGTCCAAAAATTACAAAAACTGAAATCAAAATAAATTAAATGTAAATATTTTTTTTAAATTACTAGACTGTAAACTAAAATTAAAATGCAAAAACATTTTAATCTAAAAAAAATCTAAAATAATATTATAAATATTATAAAAAAAAAAATCTACTTCAAAATATTATAATGGTATATAAATAATTCTAAAAATAATGCTTAAGTCTTGATTTTTTTATCAAATACCCCACTCCCCCCTCTTCCAACAACGACAAAAAGAAAAACTTACGTAGGTTACTTACATAACCCCGGTTCTCTGATAACATGAGTGAGGTATCTCACTTTGGGAACGTGACAGATCTGGAAGTACCAATCACACCACATCAGTTGACAGACCAATCACGACAGTGGTGCAGGAGACCCACCTCCCTCATATATACCCCTGCCGGTGGTGAGGAACCTGAGGAATTGTCTGTGTGCCGGGTAGATGCCTATGTGAAAATATGCATCTTCCTGATCGACTGATGTAAGCCAGTTCTTGGGTCAACATTTTGAACCTGTATTTTCTGAGGTGTTTGTTGAGGTTCCTTAAACCCAGAATAGGACGGAGACCCCCGCCTCTCTTGGGAATGACAAAGAACTGGGAGTAAAAACCTTGATGGCTTAGCTGACTCCCCTTCTGCTGCTGACATTAACACACTGTTGAAAAGTGGAGGTTTTACAGCAAATTGCAGACATTAACCCCGGCTTATTGTGGATAAAACCCACTGCCCTCGGGGTTAGCAAGGGCTGCCTGAGCGTGTCTAACCCCCAGGCATGCGATGCACAAAGGATGAGGATCCTTGCCTGATATCATTGAATCATTGAGTTTCTGCTTTCGGTCCGCCGCTAGCAGAACTTGTAGTTGCCATAATAATAATAACCGTATCCAAGCTCACCACAACGTGCGCAAGAGGAACTCAGAAAAAAAACTCAGAAAAAAGAGGATTCGCCGTAAGATGTTAATTCTCATAGTATTCTGTCGTGATTGGTCAGTCAACTGACAGACGTGGTGTGACTGGTACTTCCAGATCCGTCATGCTCAGAGGCATTCCCATAGTGAGATACCGAGCGAATGTTTGAAAAAGAACCGAATCTATAATGTAAAAAAAAAAAAAAAATACCAATATATAAATTATATATGTGAATCTGCAGAACAGAAAAAACTACTCGGACCACGTGATAATCAAATAATAAGAAATAAATGATCAAATATCAAAGTCTATTTCCAATTTATTGACAGTAGGGCCTCACCTTGCTCATTTTGCTCTTACTGTCAGCAGTGAGGAATGACATATTGTTGATTTCATTCATCACCACAAAGTTTTGCTCCTCTCGCTTGAAATTCTGCATAGAGATGAGAAGAGAAGTGAGGCACATAGAATTGTAGGTTGCTGTATTCAAATGTCATATGTTGTGGCTTCAATGAATGTGTTTTTCATGTTCATGACTACTGATACTGTGTGATAGTCGTTCAAATTGACATTTGTCTCTTACATGAGATTTGGACCAGAAGATAAAGACCTCGCCGACCATACGGAACAGTTCCTCGGCATCTGGGTCGCGACATGTCAGCCATCTTGCTCTAAAACCCATGTGACGATTAAAATGTCAAGACAACTAAAACAGATTCCATTAAAATAATCTACGTAGGAACCACAAAATACCTGTTGTTATCCACATAGCGGATGAGAAGAGGGTAAAGAGCATACAGGTCCCTACAGAGAACTGCAAATTCATCTCTAATAGTTCCTTCCTCCTCATCCCCCTCAGATTTCCCCTCCATTCGCAGGTGCTCCTCCTCAGCCACTACTTTAGACGTTCGCTTCTTCAGCTTCTCCATGGTGGGAATGAAATGGGATTTGAGCATCTCTGGTTTGGCTCGGCTCACAATGGGCTGGGAGAACACTGGATCGAAACAAGGATATTATGTTGAAGATGCAAATTACAAGCCCTGACTTGAGAATAACAACTTCTCGTACCCGCAAGCCTCTTCATCCACGAAGCTTCGTCAATTCCCAAGTTGTTGACCACAATTTTCATGATACTTCCTAGGAGCTGGTTGAGGTGATCGGAGGTGACGTCTGTACACAGCTTACCCTCCAATTCGGGAAAGTTCTCCACTCCTCTCTCCCACCAGCGGGGTAGGTAGTTACATAGCATGGGCAGGGTGACCTCGATCACATGCGGCATTTCGGTGTAGCGAGCCCCGGATTCAGCCAGGTCTCCAATCTCTTTCAATAATATGTCTAGCTCAGGAATGTCCAAACACAGCTCTTGGACATGGTTCGGAAGGCCCAGGACTGTAGATAAAAGGAAAAAAAATGGAATAATAAAAATCAGATACAGAAACAGATTTATATAAAGTACCATTCGAAAGTTTGATTTCGGTAAGATAATGTTTATGAGCAACTTTCTTCTAGGCATAAAATGTAATTTATTCCAGTGATGGCAAAGCTGAAGTTTCAGCATCATTACTCCAGTCTTCTTTAGTGTAACACGATCCTTCAGAAGTCATTCTAATATGCTAATTTGCTGATCAAGAGACATTTCCTATCATTATCAATGTTGAAAACAGTTAATATTTTAGAGGAAACCATGACATTTCTATAGAGGATTCTTTAACCCTTGTGCATCCTTATGGACATTTTTGTCCTTTTCAGTTTTGTTTTTTTTGATCACTTTGCCTGTGTTAAAGCTAACTGCAAAAAACTTGGCACAGGTGTGTATTTTTATTGGAATTTTACTATTTCACCGGCATTTTCTTAAAAAAATATTTTTTGCATTAGGTACAAAAAATACTCCCTCTCAGCACCTTTTGGACAAAAATGTCCCCATTGAAACCCATTAAAACTGCCATTTTTAATCCCCGGTTCAGTTAACAATAAAATTATGCAATCTTTGTTAAGAGGCTTTCATTCTGATGGCAAGGCTTTAAAATTTTATTTTTGACTATTTATCAGATGGTGCCTTTTTTTAAGTTTGGCCTATAAAACAAATACCGCTTTATTCCTGTTTTCTGGTTCGGCATACTATAGAGCCAACTGGATAAATTATGCAACAATATTTGTGTGGTTGTGTTGGTATGGATGTCAGAGTGTGGTTAGTATGTGTGTTATAAAAAAATATGTGTGTCTGTGTGCGCATGTGTGTGTTTGTAATACTGAGAGAGAAAAACTGCAAATTCAAATCCAATCACTGTGAGCTCCAGTGGGGTTTTGCTGGCACCCAATGGGGAAAATATGTTACTACGCCCAAACAAACTGTTACCGAACGCTCATTTTTTGAGATATCATCCTCAAATTTGGAACACAACCTATTTAGATTTATGGCTTTGATTTTATTGCAGTTTTGAGTTCAACCTGATTTATAAAATATATATTTATTTATATAAAATATTTTTCATAAATAATTTTCATAAACTTATACCTATATAACTTTTTTTTTGGATTAACTTATTATTTACTTCAGCAATAATCTGCAAAGGTTCTTCTTTAAAATGATACCAAACTTAAGTCTGAGCTCCAAAGCGTCACATTTTTATGACAGTTTTTTGACATGGACATTTTTGTCCTCTTTTTACCTATGTGTAACTTTTTTAATTGATGCACAAGGGTTAAGGAATAGAAAGTTAAAAATAACAGTATTTATTTGAAATAGAAAATATTTGTAACATTATAAATGTATTTTATTGAATGGAACTGAAGCTGAAAAGAGATGACTTACTAGTTCTTTCTCTGGGTGTCTTGGTAGTGTAGACTGAAAACGCATTATACTCATTAAGATTGGGCTCCAGGTAGGCCACAGGCATGGCTGCGGCAAGATGAGCAAGACATTCTCCAAGGGCTGGTCTATGCCTAATGCACATAAAAAGGAAAAAATATGAAAAATCCAACCCCACGGTCACATACATTTATACACACATACACACATACAAATACAAACCTCTCTGCATGAGGTGTTTTTACTGTACCAAGAGAGTAGATGCTACACATGATTCGGTAGCATGACATCTGCAAATCGTCCACTAATAGAGGCAAGACAGAGTGACACACATTAATTTAAGTCATTTTAAAATGAATGTATGATAATTTAGTTTTCAAAAAAGGTCCTTACACATAACATCATCTCCAAATTGGTGCTGAGCGATATGGTCAAACAGCGAAGTGAGGACAGGGAGCAGAGCTGTTGTGGTGTAGTTAATATTCTGAGACACGCCTTTCACTGGCTGAGAGACAAAAGACACAGATGGACTCGTGCCATGTAAAAATAATGCAGGAAATAAACACCTTTTGATATTAGTATTCCTAAAGTTGCACCTGATTGCCTTTGGACACTTTGCCAAGTTTGAGGTTTTCCACCATCTTTTCAATGTCATCAGCCGCACTCTCAAAGAACGAACGCAGCCCTGCTTTTACGATCTCAGGCCCGGATTTCATCACAGTTCTGTTAAAGTCAGAGAAATACATTTTTTATTTATTTTTTTACAAAACAGGGGTGTGTCAAACTCAATTCCTGGAGAGTTTAGCTCCAATCCTATTTAAACACCTGAACCAGCTATTCAAGAGCTGTGTTTGAAATCACACCCTATACACTCACTATTCCCTACATTACTCCACTAATATAGTCCCCTTGAAGAAGTGAATCAAAACAAGTGACGGAATTAGGAAACTGAGTGTGCTGGAAGGGCTGCCGCTTTAGCATAGTTTGTGTTTGCTGTTTAATAATCATTTGAATCTTAACAAACTGGCAGCTCCAGTAGTAATGAAATTACTTATCTTGACCTCGGCCATGAAAACTAACATGTATAAACTTTAATTAAACAAAATAATAATTGATTAAAAATGAATTTATATCTGTATGATATTATGCTGTAGCCACATAGGACCAGTGGTTTGGATTATGGAAGGATTGATGATTAAGCTGCAGGTGCCATCTTCGACCATCACAGAGCATTATGGGTATTCGCTACATTGGTTGTACACTCGGTATTGCTGTGCATACATTGTGGGATTGAACGAGTACACTTGATTACATCCACTATGGTTTTGGACACCACAAAAATGCCTGTCCCCTTAAATAGGGCCCTATGAAATCCGTTTTATTTTTTCCAAATTCCGTTTTATTTTTTCCCAAATTCCGTTTTTTCCGTTTTAATTTTTGGGAATTAGTTTTTTTTACCCTTGACTGTTATTTTAGTTGTAAAAATAGTATGCTTTTAAAGTTAATGATTAAAATGTATTAAAAAATACAAATAAATTAGGAATGACCTTAAATTTATTGAGGTAATACAGACATTTAATGAGGAGCCTTTTCAGGACACATTATGTGTAAAAAATATGTAAAAATCCACGAAATTCTGCGTTAACACTAGATTCCGCGTTAATTGGCCAATTCCGCAATTCAGTCTATGATTTCGTTATCGCGGAAATCATAGCGCCCTACTTAAATAGTGCCCTAATTAAGGGTATAGGGGGTGATTTCGGACACAGCCAAGGTCTATAGGATTACTATAAACTTCAAGGCAAGCTGGTTGGAGCTACACTCTGGTTGGAGATACCCTCTAGGAGTAAAGTTTGACACATTTGAGATATAACATACAACTGGTGTGCTACTGGTCTCTATTTTGATTAACAATTCATTTTAATGACTTACCTGGCATCAAGTGAGCGTGCAAGGATATGAAGGCAGTTGACAATAGCAGGTGCATCCGTACCTATATATCACAAACAGATGGTATTACATCAAGGATAGGTATTCAGCTTTTATTTTAAAACCATAACACTGAGGTAAAGCACATTATACACTCTACTGGGTTAATGGAGAGAAACACACAAAAGAAAGGTAAACACTCGAAATAAAAGTAATAAGAAAACGGAAAGGAAAAGTGATCTTTTGAGGACAGCAGAGTACATCTTACCAAAGAGAAACACTCTGTGTCGCACCAGGGCAGACATCTTACAGAAGATACTGATACCAAATTAAAGGAAATCAAACAAACATAAGAATCAACGTGAGAGAAAGAGGGAAAAGAAAGCAGCAAGAGGAACAGGGTGAAATAAAAATGTAAATGTAAACATCATAGCAGACTGTTTAAGTGTTTGTGTGTTGTTACCTTGCAATCATCTCTTTTTCCTTGTTTGAGGCGTGTCCGCCACTGCCCAGGATTTTGGCCGGCGTGGAGAGGAAGTAGAGGCAGTGGTTTTTAAAATACTGATTTATCAAAGGTAGAAGAATCTGAGGAGGACAAAAATATTTCGCACACATTATTTACAGTCCTGATCAAACGTCAAATGCTAAAAGATTTCTTGGGAGTATAGACCACCTTGGCAAAGAACTTAATCTCTTGTTCGTGCGGCGACTTTTCCACACGGCCACTGCTCACAACTGCCTCTGTAAAAACAAACGTCGCAGAAAATGCAGTTAATCTCAGTTCATCCATAAATTCATGCAATACAAATGAATGCAGTTTTACCAAGATGTGCTATGAACTCCTGGGCAATGTCCATCCACTTTAGCAGCTTCTGTAGGAAGCCATAGGTAAAACGCTTCTCAATTGATGAAATGTCACTTTCCATATCTTTGAGCCCCCTGGATAGAGATTTTAGAAAATCACAATTATAGCAATTACATTATTTTGGAGTGTATATATGTGTTTCAGTGGCTCCTGTACCTTGTCACAGCATATCCATGGAGCTGTAGAAACTTGAGCAGCTCATATGCTTTCTCCCTATCTCGTGCCTTTTCTTTAGCTGTCAGTGTGTCATAAGGCACAAGCAAAGGGTGTGTCCCTCCACCTAAGTAAAACACATCAAGAGAGATGTTGAAAAACTAAAATGAGCATTTTTAAAAAGGCTGTTTATTGGTCACACATTGGAGAGAGGCTTACCTTTTGACTGTAACTCCATTTTCTTCTTGCGGCCCCAAGTGTTATGGTAGTTTTCTGCAAGCTGCTCTGCCATGGACTAGAAAACACAGTGTGCTGTTAGCTATGGTGCTTTCAATTGTATTGAATTGGTGATGTTGAACTAATTGGGATTGTGCTCTTTTTCTCAATTATTGTGTACCTGTAGCTCTCTGGACAGTGTCATGCCTGAGATGTCAATGGGCTGAGGGCTATAGCCATGACTGGGGTCATAGGTCGCCTATGAAAAGAAATTGTAAAAACACTGCATTTGTGAATTATGATATCATAATCGTATTTAGAGTATGCAATTTGTTGTTTAATATGTGAAACAAGTCACAAAACTTAATTTAGAGTTTTAGATACAGCAGTATGCAGTTAGTATCTCTAAACTTTATTATCTCTATCCTCCCTTACCTGTGCAGTCTGTGAGATCTTGCGTGCTGTCTTCTCTGTTTTCTCGTCATCTCCATCTCTGGCTTTGTCCAATGTCCACTCCCAGGCAATCATGGCTTTCACGGACTCTTTAATAGGCCAGCGGTAGATTTCTTTATCCTAATGCAAATATTATTACATTAAAACATATGATATAGGGCACTTACAAATAACCAAATAGCACTATGGAGTCTAAGAGAGTGAAAATGTAATATATGATGTCTGTTACCTTTTCAGAGAATGTTTTGTAAGGCCTGAGCATTGGATGAGTCTTGGCATTTTCATCCAACACCTCACCAAAAGTCCAGTTGTTTTGGATCTGGTGGATTAAAAGGCACTGGTAAAACTCTTATGCAAATAAATAAATAACACACTACGGGCCACCTAGCAAAGCGATAGATTGATCGATAGATGGTATAAAGTAATGATGGATGGATGGATGGATGGATGGATGGATGGATGGATGGATGGATGGATGGATGGATGGATGGATGGATGGATGGATGGATGGATGGATGGATGGATGGATGGATGGATGGATGGATGGATGGATGGATAGATAGATAGATAGATAGATAGATAGATGATAGATAGATAGATAGATAGATAGATAGATAGATAGATAGATAGATAGATAGATAGATAGATAGATACCTTTTCAAAAGCCCATCTGTCATGTGTGTATTCTGCATATCTGTTGATGAAACCATCCAACTTCTCAGGAATGATAGTGCTATAAAAAAGGGAGAATCACAAAGCATAAGTAATCAAATATTTGACTTTTTGTCAATTTGATTAACCTCACTAAACAGAATTAAATAAATAAATGTACTTAGTGGTATCAACAGGTTTGGGGTCAAAGTTGCCCTCAGCATCAACAGAAGCCTTTTTCTCGGTTTTGGAGGAGTAGCTGGCGTCTACATAATCGGGAGGAATTGCTCCAGCAATCGCACATATGCAAGGCATGGCAATTTTAAATAGCTCTGCATCAAATTTCTGTTGGTGGACACAAATTAAAACGCTATTTATTATGTCAATCTGTCATTTGAATGCATTTTGGGGACAATAGAGGGCATATTCCCACCTTGTGAGCCAGAGATTCAAAAATTCCCCAGAAGAGTTTACGAGTGAGATGAAGCTCTTCCTCTGATGATACGCCAAAGTTAGCCCAGCCATTGGGCAAACAATAATATTTCCAACAACGCTCATAATGATTAGTAAGCAGCTGCAAAATAATGAGAGACAGATGAGATGATTACAGCAACCAGCTTAAATTCATTGTCCTGACGTGTAATGATATAATCCCATACCTTAAGGGGCATTTTAGCATACTCATTCAGAATCGGAACGTCAAACACCAGCCGCCTGAGGAGGTGCTGAAGCATGGAAGGACGCAAGTACCTGTAAAACAATAAGCAACCCAAAAATGAATTCTGAATGCATATTTGTTTTATTGGCGTTTGTTGTAGTGCATAATTAGTGTTGGGTAAGTTACTCTAAAAAAGTAATTTATAGCTACCAATGGGCTATATGCACGCATAAGTTCCGCATTTGACGCAAGGATGCTCGTCCATTTCCGGTTGTGGAGATTAAAGCGGAGGATTATGGCAGAGTCTTCAAAATTTACTATCCTCCCGTCTTTGAAACGAAACGCACATACGTTTAGATGTAATTTTATATACAGTTATGTTTATTTAATATAATTTTAAAAAGAAGCATAAACACAACGAGGGGTGTCTGTTTTATCTGTTTTTGTGACTAACGTTTCTTTAGTATAACCATGGAGTATAAAATTCAACATAAATTCTCGGTTTTGCATTGGACTCAACGATCGGCGGAAGTTATCGAGCATCCTTACACCTTCACTGGAAATACCGCCGTGCATAGAGCCCATTACATCTTGAACAACAGTGTAATAAGAAGAATACTGTAGTAATTACTTTACTTTTTAAAGGGACAGTAATTAATTACTTAAGTAATGAATCACACCCAACACTGCACACAAGTTACCTGCACAAAGACATGAGACATTCCTCGATAACATCTCTTTGAGCTTTGGTAAAAGAGCGTCCTCGGGACAGCCTGTAGATGGTGTGAAGCATAGAGTCGATCATGATGGCGCGGTGGTCCGTCCCGGCGAACAAAGGAGCACATTTAGTGATGAGAGGCAGCACAGCGGAGCACAGGTAACGGTTCAGAGCAAGGGCCATTTCTGTAGTGCTGAACGCAGCCTTAGAGGAAGAAGAGGATAATAATCAGTCCCACCAGGATTTCACGATTTTTTTTGTGATTTTTGCGATCAAAATGACTGATTTTGTGGTGGTAATTTCCAAAAATTTGTGAAAAAATTTGCGATTTATATATAACATTTACCATAATAGTATTCAGTCCTTCCAGAAAAACGCTGAGTTTTTTTTTGTGATTGTTGCTGGCAAAAATTGATTGATTACGTGGCCCGTTTTCTTTAAAAATGCGATGGAATATGCGGGATATTTATGCAATTTTATGCGATGAAATTGCAGGAATTTGCAAAAATTGAGGGAACTTGCAAAAATTGCGGTTTGATGAAAAAGAGAAAAATTCTGTTTGATGCTACTTCTTTTATATTATGTTGTTTATTAAGTAACGATGTGACGGTAGAACGTGTGACAGACAGTTATACGAGTTCGATTTGTGAGATGTCAATCGCCTCTGTGAGTCTGTCTGGCGTCGCATAATTGCGTCACTTCATAACGTTCCCATGGAAACAGGGGGAAATGGCTGCTCTTGTGTGAAGCAAACGCAACATTTTTCAACTTTCTGCTAAGATACATGTGACTTTTTTTGCAACGAAAATGCGAGGATTATGAAATTATGCAAACCCCGCATATTTTGCACGGAAATCGGCAATTTATGCGGCGAAAGTGCGGCGTATTTGAAAAAATGCGGCCCCCGCATAAATATGCGGACTTTGGCTGATTTTGCATTGAATTCAGCGATCGCATAATCGCGTTTTTCTGGAGGGACTGAATAATGGTGACGGTACTGCAGATAGTTATGTAAAGAGAAAAGGAAACAATGAAAGCAAGACAGCATTTTTGTTAGTGAAGAATGATACAGACGACATCTTACTGTGTCTAAGGAAGCTGCTGCCCTCATGTCAGGCAGGAAGCCCACTTCTAGTACATGCAACAGGAAGTCCTGGTTGTCGATGCCGTAAACTCTGTCCAGGAACAGGACCATTGGTGCTTTATGATCAGGCACGAAACTAGCAGACATCTTTGGTTCAATAACGCTGTTATCTGAAATATAATGAGCGTAGTTAGATAGGATGAGAAAAGTAAGGATTTAAGCCTCCATCTACAAACTCTTTACTTGCTACTGTGGTGGAAATTTGAAACTATTTATATTAAACTAACCAGGTTAGACTGACATTTGAACAGAATGTACTGTACGAAATCAATGGAAAAACATATGACTTTGAGTGTGTGTGTGTGTGTGTGTGTGTGTGTATAAATAACAAATATGGGAAATTAAACTAGACAGTCTAAATTTGAACCTTGTGATTATGAAGTAATGAAGAACCAAATTAAATTGTAGGGAAATTGTATAATGTATCATGTAATTTTGCCATACCTCCCTATTCTATAAAAACTGTTGTATTTGTGTTTACTAGTGAGATTCTCAATTGGATTTGTCTGAGATCCAAGAGAACAAGTAAGTTAGATTATCGGCCCTGGACGCTGTAGTCGACTGGAGACTCGCTGATGTGTGAACGTAGATAACGTCAATTATATTTAGTTATACTAGAACAGTTAGTCTTAGGGAGCCAAATCTAAAATAGTTAGGTTTGAGGATAAAAAAAACCCCATAACACTACCTTTTCCAAAAGCAGGTATCTGGACTGGCAAGCTGATCACACCAACAAGATCTTCAATAGGCACAAGAGACCTAAGAATGGCCCTGATTCTCAAAGCCTCACCTTTACCAGCCTGGATCAACTATACAAACAGACAGGAAGTGTGAGATGTTCAATCAGGTCAGATCTCATCGAGTACCACTCAAGCAGTTACATAGAGTACAAACACACTTACGTGCATTTCAGGAGCACAGCGACCCAGCAAATCAATAAGAGCTGAGTAAAAGGACATGATGGCATTTCCCAGGTGAACTCTGTTCTCCTCATGCTGTTCCTCACCTCCAAACCTGAGACATCATCACACAAATTCACTATTTCTACAGTCTAAATTGCTAAAAACTCAAGATCTAATTAAATACCAAATTGCAGTATTCACGTTCAAAGCAAGGAATAGCCTATTGCCTGGGAATATACAAAAGATGTTTACTGAGAGGGAGGGAGAGTACAATTTAAGAGGAAGGGGAAATTTTAAGAATAATAGATTTAGAACTACAAGGAAAAGATTATGTTTATTAATTTGTGGAGTTAAATTATGGAATAAACTAAATGATAAACTAAAGCAGTGCTCAAACATATTTCTATTTAAAAAAAATGTACAAAGAAATTATTTTCAAGAGGTATCAAGAAGCACTGTAGTGAAAGTAGGAGTACTCCATTGTTTATGTTGTTTTTCTTTGTTTGCTCTGTCATTTTTAGTTGTACTTTTTATTTTATTTTTATTATTATTATTTTTTTTATGTTTTGCTGCTTGTATATATCTGTATATGTGTATGGATATATAGAACAACATGATAATAATAATATAAAATTGTAAATGTAAGACTGTAAGAATTTAAGGGGTAGGAGTATATAAGTTTTACTTCTTCCTACTCCTTTTCGCACATATAATAGAAGTATGTCAACAGCAAAGAATTATACATATATATTTTTTGCGGCTCATTTGTTTTGATTTTTCCTAAGTTTTTTTTAAACATTGTTTTATTTTATATACTTTCTTTTTATGTACGAAATAAAGATTTCAAATTCAAATTCAAAATCATGAACAAGAAACACTCAAAAACCTCTCTACATCCCACTGTAAAAACAAACAGTGCCAATTGAATTAACATGTTATTTTCCCTCTATCCACTCCGCACAAGGTGCTTCCGTGTGTAAAAATGTTGTTGGCTGTGTGGGTGGCGGTAATGGTGGATAAATGAAACTGTTGGAAGCACTGATCAGGATAAAATGACTTAACACCCTACAGTAGTACAGAGATGCTCTTTTCCTTACATTGGGAAGCGTCTGTCTTTTTTAACAGTGGGTCCATCTCTTGCAGGATCTTCTGAGATCTTAATGGCCTCTTCAATGGCAGCAAGCAGACCATTGCCCCCTTCTCCTCTCAGTGCAGGACCAAAACACTCGGGCCTCCTGATCAGCAGCCGGACCACCACGTTAGCATTCTCCTCCACGCTCTCTCCTGAAAGTAGAACATTATACAAAACTTTATTTAATAATACTGTAAACTTTCCTTTGCCCAGTTAGACACAATCATAAATACAAACCATTAACAAACACAGCAAAACGCAAGAAATCCAGATATTTCTCTCCTCCACATGGATTCCACCCAATATCAGGGTAACCTTTAGATAAGAGCATGGGGCAGCTCTGCAGGCCACAACCAGCCAAGTACTTCACCACCTGCACAAACAGAGAGACAAACAGATTTTTGTAGGAGCCACAAAAGACGGTCACAACGATTTACACTTTAGGTTGACGCACCATCTCCAAGTCTTGCTCTTGGAGAGCCAGAGCAAGTTCATTGTTGTCAATACAGGATGCAGCAGCAACATCAAGGGGAGTAGAGCCACGCATTCCTGAAACAGTGATCACTGGTTGATTGATGCAACACTCAATAATACACATTTATAGCTGAGTTTTAATTTAGGCTAAACATGAATGTACATTCTGTAGATGAAAAGTTACTAAAAAGGAAAGTGGGTTTCTTTAAGAATCAGGCTTTACCCAGCCCAATCCCACTGTTCTGCAGGAGGTAGCCCAGATGATCAAACATTGAACGCTGATTCTGTCTGCTGATACGACAGAAATAACACAGGAAACGACAGCAGTTGGTCACCATTCGAGGGAATCTGATCTCCTGCACAGAGCAGATGCGAATCAAATTAAATTTTTAAAACCAATTGATTCTTTAAGGGCCAGTTGTTCAAAGGTAAGCTGAACGGATTTTGGTTATCGGATTGGATCAAATCTTGAAAATGGGTTGTTCAAAAGGGAAAGAAGGAATCTGTCTAATCCTAGTTTTAATCTGGATCAAACCTTCAGTTTGTGTTGTTCAAAACTTGTCAGTGGGATTTGGATAAATTTGATTAAAAAAAAAAAAACAGGATTATCCTGATCCCAACAGGGGGTAGGATTTCAAGGTGGATTTCAGGAAGAAAATGTAGTAAAACTTTAAAATTGGTCAAATAATACATTTGTATCATTTAGTGTATAAACTTATATTTATATTTTGCACTTGACTTGTGATAAAGTAGACATAGGCTAACAATTAAGCTATTCAGTATAGTAAAGTAAAAATAAAATAAAAATTATCTTGTCCCCATGAAATAATCCCCCAAACAGATTTCAATAACAAACAAAAAAAATATGTTCATTTTTCGTTCATTCAACATTTTTTAAGGAGTGTCCACAATATATTTGTTAATGTATGTTTGTTGTTTATTTTGTTGTGGTTCAGTTGTGGCTCATAAAATAAATTATGATTAGAAGTGTATGTTTGTTATTTTTGTGTTTTTTTCTCAAAATAAGAAACACTTACAGTGACCCCATGTTGGCTCTTCTACCTGTTCTTTACATAGCTGGTAGCCCACATTGTGAAATGTTGTCCCATTTAGAGCACTGGTAATCCAGATTTGATAATCTTGAAAACTGTGCATCTGGATCAGGGTGATCCAGTCCAATGTTGCTTTGAAAAACCGGCATAAAAGTAAGACGGATTACCTGATCCTGGATAGGAAAAAATGGGATTTCCAAATCCGGATCATTTTGATCCAGATTAAATGTTTTGAACAACTGGCCCCATATGTTTGAACATTGCATAAAAATGTGTTAAAATATAAACTGTGTACCTTTGAATCACCACCTCCAAGTACGTTCACCATAACCTCCATGACTGTCTCATGCATTCCCAGAGCTCTCATCAGGTTGGGGTGCTGGTAGAATACCCTGTTGCTCATAATATTTCTGAAAGAGAAACAGAGGATGGTTGCAACTCTTGGGTGGTGGAAATTTCTCACAGTGTATCTATTGCAGTTGCAATTATAGATACCAAGGACTATTTAAAGGTGCGTTCATGCACTCACCCAATACTTTGGATCATCAGCCTCTCCTCTTCTGGCCCCATCTGAACAATGAGCAGGGATCGGATCTGCCCCAGACACTCCAGTAGCTCCATTGTGTCTTGCACAGACACAGCGTTGATTGTGTAGGCTTTGGGCAATGCTCGGATCAGCTCACCCAGGGCATCATACTGCCGGTGTAGCAGACTGAACATGAGCCGCACCAGCTCAGGGTTCTGAATGAAAGACTCCTGAGCCCAGTGGATCATGGTGTGGGAGATCAACTCCTGCAGAGTACCTGTGTCACAAGAGCAGATGTTCAAGTAATTATGGTCGGGGAAAACAAGATGACACACGGGAGTCTAATATGAAGTAAAAAACTAAATCTTTTACTGGGTTTTTTGTCTTCTTCAGGTTCAGGCTCTGCCTCCGGCTTCTTGCGTAAGCGCCTAACTTTCTCCACCAGTCTCAAGAGGCGCCCACGGAGAGAGGTGTCCACCACCTCTTCTTGCTCCTCCTCTTCAATATGCACTCCTATGACAGAGAAGGAGAATCCATCCTAAGTGAATCCTAAGATGTACCTAGTCTTGCTAAGGTTGAAAAAAATGCATATGCTAACATGCTAACAGAAATAAACATGGACTGTAATGATACTGGTCTACGTATTAAACAGTGACAGTATGTTCTTCGAAAAGATTTCCGCTTGCACAGTTAAACTGACCACAGTGACCCAAAAGGTCATGGTGAAATGTCACCAGGCCATTCCGGACATCCTCAGGAACGGGGCTATCTTCATCCTCTGGACAATTCTTAAAGTTCATCAACATGTTCACCTGGATATACAGAGTTTATACAATATTAGCTATATAGTAAGTATATATGTGTGTGTGTGTGTGTGTATGTATATACATATAGTGGCTGTACAGTACCTGTTCCTGTGGAGGGGACCGGAATTCGCGAGTCTTGCGGGCCGTTTCTGCAGCACTCATCGTAAAGGCCTGCATGAGCTCATTATATCGCTGTCTCTGATTGGTCTGCACTTGGTTGACAAACCTGTCTGAGAAAGCGATGATGGTTTCCACTCTGTGACGCAGCTCACAGTCACAGAAATATTGCAGGAGAGTACACATCTAAGGATGAGGAAGACCAAAAGTGAGACAAAAGGTCAAAAGGCGAGACAAAATAACAGATGAAAGCAGTCCTTCACCTGAAGTTTCACAGACTCAGGAAGCTTCATGTGCAGCAGTCCCTCTCCCACATCCTCCTCTTCCTTCACTTCTGTCTCAGCGGCACCAGTTTCTTTCTCAGCTTCTCCATCTGTCGCTTTCTCCATGTCCGTTTTTTCCGCAGCATGTTCGTCCTCCTTCCCTTCTTTTCCCACCAGCTCATATTCCTCGTCCTCCTCAGGTTCAAGCTCATCCTCCTCAAGATCTTCTTCCTCACCCTCTCCCATGCCTTCATCCAATAGCTCTCCCTCATTTTCATTTTCTACATGTTCCGCTTTCTCTTTTACCTCTATTCCTTCCTCTTTGCAGACCACTTGTTCAGCATCTCCAAGTTCTTCAGCCTGGCTCTCTCCATCACTGAAGACGGAGGGTTCGATCAGCTTCAGGATGTGCTTAACGTCGTTGTCGTCAAACACGCCCATTATGAGCAGGGTGCTGATTAGCTTCAGGATGGGCACGAAGTGGAACTCAACGCTGCCCCCTACGGGATCCCGCATGGCCTGCCCACCGTCCTGCACGGCTTCGGTAAGCATGTTGAGGGCATGGTCCTTAAGCATCTAAAGTACAAAAAGAGAAGAGGCAACAACAGAGAAATTAAAACGCCAGTTTTGTGGCAGTTTTCACAAACAATCTGTGTTATTTTTGTATCATTGAGATCCTATTATAGTTTTTAATCATGTTTTGAATTATTTTTTTATATTTACGTTTTCCTTTTTTTCAGTTTTCAAATGTAATTAAAGTTTTGTTAATTTTGTCATTTGATTAAGTAGTTATTTTTGATTTCAGTTTTAGTTTTAATTTTTTAAATAAAAATAAGAAATGCTGGATTGGCGACAAACTAAAAAAAATAAGTTTAGAATTTTGATATTTTATTTTGTTTCAGTTAAAATTTGTTCACGCATCAAAATTACTTTTTTTTTCTGATTTTAGTTTTAGTTATAGTTTTAGTTAACTATAACATTTCCTACCTGTAGAGGTAAGATGGGGCTGAGAGTGTAGAGGTCAGCATTTGTGCCCACAAACCCAGTTGGGGCAAAGTGAAGTTTGGGGCGGAGGCAGGTGGTGAGCCCGACCCCAGGTAGCGCATGGGCCTTCTCAGCGTCTGAATAGAGGGTGATGCTACGCGTCTCGTCCGTCATGGGCACAATGAACTCCTTATTGGTCATGAGACGGTTGCGCTTGGCAGACTCCAGGTGCATGGAGATGAGCAGGTCGTAGTATCCGCTGCGGATGGGGCCGGGCAGGTAGGTGTTCTCGATGGCGTAAAAGAGCTGCGATTCGTCCACGTGGCTGCAGAGGGCGTGTGCGACGCGGTTGTTGCCCAGTGCGCAGACTGAACCATACAGTTTAAGAGTGTGGTAATGAAATTTCATTAGGTCGGTGTGCTCCGACAGTTCCAGGATGTCAATGCACCTGGAAAAGAGAGGAAGTGAAATCAAATTCTCCCACTTGTTTAATCCATTACATTTTTCATTGAAGACTGAATCAATTTATTTTAAAAAGTTTCTAGTGAAATAAGCAGGTAATATTTGCATATACCTGCTTTCTTCTGGAATGTGCAGCGCCATCATAACGAGAGGCTCCATGCATTGCACCTTCCAGCCCTGCCTTTCACTCACACGGCCAGTTTCAGGCTCCAGAAAGTGATTAGGCATCCGGCTCCATATGACAGGTGTCAACATCTGGACATCTAGCCTGGGAGGACACTGAGGGACTGGGTTCTTATGGTCGCTGCGGAACATGGCCGCAGAGATGGGCATAATGTTCTGGATCAAGTGTGGTAAAAGCAGAATATGAATAAAGAACATTTTATGTCACAAAAAACGAGGCAACTTTAGCACTAAGATAGTGACCTTTAGTTTGCCGAGTTCCACCTGTATCATGTTCTGGCTAGATGGCAAACAAAACACAGCAGGGAAGAGCTTAGTGTTGGGTTCCACCTGAAACACAGAGAAACAGCTTCATTGCACATTAAATAGACATAAATTATGGTGATTAAGTATTTTTAATTTCCTTTAAGAAATTAAAGAAGTCAAATGTTTTAAATATTGGAAGTTTTCTATAATAATAATAATACATAATAAATTAAAGACAAACATAATTATTTAATTTAGGAGTTTACATAATTGGTCATTTGTTGAATCTGCTAAATAAAAATATATAATACATCTATATTATTATATTGTGCTTTGACGTTTTGATTGTTTCTTGCCTGTTATATTGCTTAGGTCCTGCAAATACGTGCTGCAAAAGAGCTATTAGCTAAAAACATAAGATACCTTTCTGCTGACACTGAAAAAAAACAAAACAGAAGAAAGATGCCCAGGGTCCCTTATCACATGCTATAATCCTAGTGCAGGAGGCATGGGGACTGCAGATGTGAACAGAGCAATAAACTGCAGTGTACGTAATGTAAGATGCCAAAGACAGTGTTACAGGGAGACAAGAAGAACTTGTTCGAGAACTTGCAAGTCACTTTATCTTACCTGGTAGAAAGCGTGGATCTCTTTCCCATTGGCTGTAAAGGTCATCAGTCCTGTGTCCAGGTCCACCAAGCAGCCAATCACAAAGTCCTCCTGGCTGATGCGTGTTTGCTGTGAGCTGCTAAATTCTCCTCCCCACACCATGTAGCAGTTGCTGCGTTTTACACTGAGGAAAGCAGAAAAAGAGACAGGGTTGTACTGAAACATGTAAAGTAACCTCCAGCATGACTTATTAGGGGGTATTTAAGGATATAAAATGGCTAAAGTTAAGCCTGCTTCCTTGCAAGTCATATTCTGGTGAAAAATGCACTAAAATATGTAGCGGTATGAACTAAAGTTACCTTAGGTTAAGTTACCTGTCATGAATGTTGCCTTTATCGTCCCCAACCGTAACGGTCACATTTCTGACTTTACAAAGGTCAAAGTGTGGATCGTACAGGTGGTAGTCAGGAGTGACCCAGCCTACCCATACTCCACTGGGCTCCTGTCCAGCAAATACTCGGACTGAATAATAATACTGTTGGGATGAAAAGAATTACATTACAACACATTGTTTAGATGAAATTCCGCTTACAGATATTTAGTAAAGGGAAAAATTGTAAAACAAAAGTTTCATCCATACAGTAGTTGTGTTTGAGATGATATCAGCATCATCTCGATCATCTGGGACAACATCCTCCATCAGACGAGGCATCGTTGGAACCACCGGTGGTGGGGTGAATGCTGCCTTCTTCGCCTTGGAAAAAAACCTGGAAAATCACAGATATTTTGTCATTTCTGAATCAGAAGACAAGATTACAGATACAATCTCGCATCGGTCTTCTCTCACCCTCTCTTTTTGCTCTTCTCTGTGGTGGTGTCCTTCTCATTTTCACCCTCTTTGCTGCCAGGAAGCTCTTTAGGGACTGAAGGCTCTTTTTCCTTCTCATCTTGCTCCTTACGAGTGGCTGACTTCTTCAAAAGCTCAAACTCAGATTCGGGGTCCACCTCAAGAGCTTCATCCTCAGGGATAGTGAGGGTTCGGGTGAGGGGTGAAGCTCCCACTGGCACTTTGAAGGTTTCGTGAAATTCTATGGGCATGCTGAGTCTAAAGAACAGAAGGTCCGTGTTGGCATTCTGAGATCCAAATGTCCTATGAGTCAGTTTCAGACAGGGGGCGCTATCCACTGTTCCATCCACACGGCACACCTATTTGAAGCAATAAACAAACAAAAAAAAGACGCCTGAGACGGGTTTATTGAAATTTTTAATTAGCTTTTATTTTTATATTTTCAGTTTTCATTTAAATTTTAGTACGTTTGGTAATGTGCTTTTTTCATTTTTTTTCATTTCTATTAATTTATTTGGTAACACTTTATTTTAGGGTGACAGTTACACATTACTGCATGGACTTATGCAACTAACCCTAAGCCAAACCCTAACTCCATAGTAAGCACATGTAGTTAATTAATAAGGGTGCAATGAAACCACGACACCATAAAATAAAGTGCAAACTTTATTTTTATTTCAGTTTCAGTCATTTTAGTACTAGGATTTATTTACTTAGTAGCCAAGGCAGATTAGCAGGTATTTATAAGGTATTTTAAGTATGTTTTTACCTCAATATGAGGATGGTCCATTGGTACAGGCACAAACTGGGGCAAGCTTTTGCTGAACCACATGGTAATATCTCTCTTCATGTTGATGGCAAAGGGCTCGAAACCTTCCTGCAGGCCACAGATTGTGAAGTAACGCAGGCTGCTCACATTCTGCCCAAGGTTGATACGGCCCACCTGGGACATCCCCAGACTGCAGACAGGTATGAACCCTGCTCAGGAGAACAGACTTATTAAATGTCACAGCCAACTAACATCTCAATATCAATCCTCTTTGTGACTCTCACCTTCTCCGATCTCAATGTCTTTGAAGGCCATCTCAGATCCAGAGTCACTGATGAGCATCTCTCCATTCAGAGTAAACATGATGTTCTGCTCCGGCAGGTCGATCATGCAGCCCACAACATCACCAGACAGCCACTGCCGGCCAAATGGTTCATTCCCTATGTGCCAACGCTGAGACTATGGGTAAAAATCAGGAAATTAGATTATAAAAGTACTGTTTTGATTTTAAAAAATAATGCATTTTTAAAAAGAGAGATTTTACTCAACATAAAAATGATAAACATTAAAATAACCATTTATAATGTTACAAAAGATTTCAAATAAATGCTGCTCTTATTTTTTTTCTGAAAAAATAAAAAATAAAAAAAATCCTGGAAAATAATGTTTCCCACAAAAATCACATCCGTTTTCAACATTAATAATAAGAAATGTTTCTTAAGCAGAAAATCAGCATGAATTATTAGAATGACTTCAGTAAGCATTATGAGACTGGAGCAATGATGCTTCGAAAATATATTCAATTAGAAACAGTTTTTTAAAATTGTAATAACATTTGGCAATATTACTGTTTTACTGTATTTTAATCAAATAAATGCAGTATAACAGTTTTCTGTTAGAATTAGAGACTTCTTTCAAAAACTTTTGAATGGTAGTGAATGACAATATTTCCTTTCTTTGGTGGTGTGATGCTAAGCAAAACTAATACTTGTCAATCTTCTAATGAATGTCATAAAGACCATGTGATAAGCTTGTGCAATAATGAGGTTTCCGAAAAGAAGCCATTATAATACTAATAAAGTTTCAGTACCTTGAACCCATTGAAGACATAGGCTAGATCATCTGATCCCAGCTCTCGGTCTGCATGGACGTTTGGTCTTGCCCACCCAACTCTCATCTCTCCCACTGTTACTGCCTCAAACTCAAAGTACCATTTCCCCTGGGTCACCGCGTAGGATTTCTCTGCCCTGAACACGCGGATCTTATCACTCCGACCACTGCCATTCCCATGTCCACCTGGAATAAATGGTCACAGAAGTTTAGGTGAGTAAATTGGATGACTTTGTAGTAGAATTCTTCAAGAGTGATATGAAGAGGTTGATTTGGTGTATGATTAGATGGATGGACACTCACTGCTTTCCTGGTCAGGTGGCTCAATATTGTAGCCATAGCCAATCAGAGTTCGTACGGCAGCACATACACTGTCACGATTGGTTTTTTTAGTCTTTTCATCCAGGAGATTGTATGGCACAAGACGGGGGTTGCGCTTGTTCACAATGTCCTAAAAAAAAAAGCAAATTCAGAAGAAAATTAAGCAAACTCTACAGAAAGAACAGAAGCTGAAATGGTAATTTCATAGAATCGTCTACATTTTTATTAATATTGTATATTGTGATCTTTTCAATTGTTTTTTGAAGTACTTCTCTCAGATTATGGATGAATGTGATACTCGTAAAGGATGAGCCATGCTCTGGAAAGCATTTTTGCTCTTCCATATTTTTGTAATTTATTGTTGTAACTTAAGTGTACACCTACAGTACCTGAATAATGCTGTAAGTCCAGCCTTGGCGGACACGGTCTCGAGCCCAGACATTGTGTCCATTTTCAGCCAGCCTTTCCACAAGTGTGTTCTGATTCGGTGTCAATTTCACATAGTTGAGGTCTAGAGGAGCAGGTTTGTATCCATTACTTTGGATATACCTAAGAATTAAACAGAAACGAGTTTAAGTTTAGTCATCCTTATTTAGCTTTTTCTCAATCATTTTGACATTAAAATATCTATTATACTCTATCAGTACCTGTTGTTGTTAGCATACACTACGAGTGTTGGGAGTAATGCATTACAAGTAAAGCAATTTAAGGTACATAATCAGATTACTTTTTTCAAGTAACTAGTAATGCATTACTTTTAAATGTGCAAGCTCTAACAGCTCCAAATGTTGAGAGAAATTGTAAGTAAGCAAAGGCATCGTGCGAGTTGTGCAGACATGATGGTTATTGTAGTTCTAGACTAAATCTGAGCGTATTATTACTCATCAAAATACTTTCAGTATTCCTCTAAAAGAATAAAAACAGTGAAATTCAAACTCAAGAATATTACACAAACCTGCAATAATTAAATATGTTTAATAACACAAATATACTTTATGTATTTAATCTGACTTTAACAACCATTATGTCTGACCGCAAACATTTGAAAGTTAAACTGACACTATTGTACCTTTGTAATTTAATTAAAACTACTTTATTAGTCTTAAATGATTAGTGAGATGTTCTGTAATACTGACGTTTTAGGAAGTTTTATCTTCTTCAAGTTCTCCTCTGCTTTCTCGTCTCCCATGCCTACATGACAACCTAAGGCCAGAAGAGTCCTATAGACAGAATCCAGAAAAGCAGGGGTTAACTAACCACAAAGCAACAAATATATAAAAGCTCCGTATTTCACCTACTTCAGTGTCTCTCCGGACATTGCCAAGTTGTAGTTCTTCTCAGGCTCCGGGAGGCTTTGGAAGTCCACTAGGCAAGGATGCAGCTTCTTGTTGTCATCACGGAACTGAAAGAGTGGGGATAGCAGACATTTAAAATAATCATTATTTCCTTCAATTCTATTTTTAATATTCATAGACTCACTGCTCCATAAGTCCAGCCCTGCTCAATTCGAGTAACGGCCCACAGCTCGTGGCTGTTCTCAGCCAGTTTCTCTCTGATACGCTCTAGGTGAGGAGGAAGAACAATCTGCGGAAATAATTCAGATGGCAAAATCAATACAGCAGGTCACTTTATTTACACAGACCTTTAAAGGAGTAGTTCACTTTAAAAAAACAATAAAAACTTTGGCTGATAATTTATTCACCCCCATGTCAACCAAGATGTCAATGTCTTTCTTTCTTCAGTCGAAAAGAAATTAAGGTTTTTGATGAAAACATTCCAGGATTTTCTCCATATAATGGACTTCAATGGGAACCAAAGGGTTCAAGGTCCAAATGAGAGTTTCAGTGCAGCTTCAAAGGGCTTTAAATGACACCAGACGATGAATAAGGGTCTTATCTAGCGAAACAATACAAAAGTTTTATAAGCACAAATGCTCGCCTTGCTTTGTTCTGTAATGCGCGTTCGTGACTCTCCTGTTCGAACTCGTTCATCAAAATGAACAAATCTTTTTTCAAGTCATTTCGTTCTTTGTTCGTTGAATGAACCAAATGACTCGAAAAAAGATTCGTTCATTTTAAAGAACGAGTTCGAACAGGAGAGTCGAGCAAGGCGAGCATGTGTGCTTATGAAACTTAAACTTTTGTATTTATTTTTGAAATGATAGAACGTTTCGCTAGATAAGACCCTTATTCATCGTCTGGTGTCGTTTAAAGCCCGTTGAAGCTGCACTGAAACTCTCATTTGAACCTTGAACCGTTTGGTTCCCATTGAAGTCCATTATATGGAGAAAAATCCTGGAATGTTTTCATCAAAAACCTTAATTTCTCTCCGACTGAAGAAAGAAAGACAAGGACATCTTGGATGACATGGGGGTGAATAAATTATCAGCAAAAGTTTTTTTAAAAGTGAACTACTCCTTTAATAATATTCTCTGAATTTATACCTGCACAGTGTCCACTGGGCAGGGAGTGAAAGCAGTGTGGGAGAGAGATTGGGTCGGCCCCAGAAGGTTCCGGACATTATTGAAGTCATGCTTGTACTCTTTAATGGGCTCAATCCGCAGCCTATCTCTGGGAAGAACCGCCTCGTAGCATGGGGCGTAACCTGGAGGAGGGAGGAATTTGAAGTCTCCATGCCGCCCGCCAAGGAGAAACCGAACTCTGTGAAGTGAAATGCATTTTTTAATTTGTCCTATTAGATTTAACATGTAATTTGCTGAAGAATCAATTTATTTAACCCTTATTTAACCAGGGAAATCCTTTGAGTACAAGTCTCTTTTGTGAAGGAGCCCTGGCCAAGAAGGCCGCAGTAAAGGTTCCACATAAAATACAAGAAAAAAAAAAAAACAATAAACATACAAGACATAATAAATACATTAACATCAATCAACTCTTACTTGATCCCAGCTGAGAAGCTGACCGCAGGGAAAAACAGACCGTCGAGATTGAAGTTCTCGAACATGCCTTGAACGGGATGTCCATTAACACGGAAGGAGATGCTGGGCACACTCAGATCCAAACAGCAGCTCACCACATCCTCAGCCGCGAGAATGTGTTGATTGGGTGAAGTCACCTGACGTGGAACGCGACCTGATAAAAGCGTAATGTTATAGATGTGCTCAGTGAGATATCAGTGTGCTGGAATAGATAGAGGAAGGTAATCCTAACCCGTCCACAGCTGCAGCCCATCAAAGCCGTACGAGAAAAGATCATCTCCAACTCCATTGCTCCCCCATCCCTCTCCTCCTCCGGGGTAGGGGCTGTAGCCCTCGGTCAAAGCCCAGCCAATTCGAAGGTGACACGCCTGAGCGGTCAGGAATGACTCCACGTGGTCTACGATCAACTCGTAGTACCACTTCTTATATTGTGTAGAGCCTTCACACGTGCCCAGAAAAATGTTGGGTCTCATACTGCAAAACATCAAACATGAGTCCAAACAAATGAGATAACTTTTATATGTCATTTGGGTTGTACTGAATCAGACCTGGTGACATAATTGATGATGTTGGTCTGCAGGAGGAGGTCACGGCCCGGAAGCAGATTCTCAGTGATCAGATTCTGATTGGACCTCACGGCAACACCATTACAAACACATAGAGAGCAAAGTACATCTAGAACCTACAAAGAAAAGTCACAACAGAGCATGCGGTCAGATACGACTGAAGACTCAGTAAATAGCCTAGATTGCGAAAAGATATCAACCTTGTGGTTGCGTCCATGTTTGTCCAGAAGCGCGATGATAGATTTGATGTGGTTCTCCTGATGATGTTAAGCACCTCAGGACTTTCAATAAGGATACAATACAGCACCTCCAAAATGCCTGACAATTAAAAATATGCACATATACACTACCGTTCAAAAGCTTGGGGTTTGTAAGAATTAGTTATTTATTCAGTAAGGACATTAAATTGATCAAAAGGGACTCTCAAATGATAAATTATTATTATAAATGATGGCTTTCTACCTGAGGATGCCTCTAAACGATCCAGTTTGCTGACAAGCCAGTCAAGATTATCACAGAACAAAGCACAGTTTGCCCGGTTTCCTCTGATCAGAGATGCTATATAAGAAAAAATGACAAAGGAATTATATTTCCCACTTTTTATTAAGTGGCTTTAAGTACTATGTACTTACATTGAAAGGAATAATTTAATACAATGGACTTATTGTGTAAATACATGTTTTTACATTGTACTTTTATTTTAAAAATACCAGCATGTAACTACAGCTGTAACTAATTTATGTAATTACATCTGTAATTACACAGCTGACCCATCCCTTACACTTTAACCTACCATTAAACCTACCTATACCACCACACGTGTCCTTAACCTCACCCTCAATAGCAGCAAAAGTGTTTTACAATACAAAAAGAGCACAATAAGTACATTATACTTATTTTTCAATGTAAGTACATAGCCACTTAATATAAAGTGGGACCTATCATTTTAACGGAAATCAGTAAATCATTAAGTGCCCCAGTGTGGTTTAGATTTGTCTGTTATGGGTAAACAGCCATACCCAGCAGCTCATAAAATAAGTTGACAATCTCTTTCCAGGACTCAGCTGCATCTTCCCCAGCAAATTCTGAGAAGTGGGCCGAAGTGTTGTAGAAATTCAGCCGATCAACACAGTCCAATACGAGAGTGATCATGCCCTAATCAACATGGACAATTATGTTTGGATGTTCATGTTATACACAGAAAATATATTTTCATTAGTATAAATCAAAATTGGTTTATCTGTATTTGTTTGCATTTTTGCGAGCATGTCTAACCTCCTCTTGAAATAGATTCTGACGGTTCCTTAAAGAGCGCAGTTTGGTCTGCTTCTCTTCGTGTTCCAGGTCCTCATCAGGAGGGCGGAAATAGAAGATGAGATCCTGCAAGGACAGAACAATGGAGTCTAGAGGCAGAGATGGGGACGGACCAGGAGATTTACTTTTCCCACTCAGAGAGTCCAGACCCCTGTAAGACAACACAAATCAACGAAAAATAAATAATTTACCCTTATCCCTGATATTTATGCCTGATAAAACAACAAAAAAGTGCTAAGTTGACTTTGGTCTCAACGTTTGTTTTGATAGGCTGGTTTAAGGTTTTTCCTTGAGGATTACAATTTGCTGCAATTTTAGACCAGATCTACAGCTGTATGCGGACGTACTTAATGAACTGAGTGAAGAGTCCCGCAGTGCTGTAGATCATCCTAGCAGCCTGGGATTCTGCGGTTTGAGAGCGGGCCACAGTCAGAGCATCGTCCATGTGACCCTCCTGATGCAGTATTGCCTAAGGAAAAGAAACGCTCATATTAGAATTGATCGAATTAGGTCTGTGAATTTACACTACTCTTCAAAAGTTTGGGCTATGTATGACTTTTTAAAATGTTTTTGAGTATCAAGTATCTTATACTCAAATATTATTACAATTCAATAACTTTTTTTATTTCAATATATTTTCGAATGTAATTTATTCATGCTGACTTTTCAGAAATTATTCTAATATGCTGATTCGAAACATTTCTTGATATTAAAAATGTTTTAAAAAAAAAGTTGTGCTGCTTAATATTTTTTGTGGAAACAATGATACAATTTGTTCATGATTCTTTTACGAATATAAAGTTCAAAAGAACAGAATTTTTTGAAATAGGATTTTTTTTATTTTTTATTCATTTTATTTATGATTTATTTATTTATTTAGATGGGACAATGCATATTAATAAACGTACAAGCATAGTCGAACGTAAATACGCCGGATTTAGCACAATGCTAATTTCCATCCGTTGTCTCTAACACAGACAAATACAATCCAAAAACAAAAACAGACACACAATATACATATCAACAAAACACATGTGAAATTAAATAAAAATACATATAAATAAATTAAGAATAGTAATAATCATAAAAGTTCATATAGGCCTATCTTATAGAGAATGTATTGTAGTACCCATTACATATGAAGAGTTCAGATGCAAAAGCCTCTAAATGCCATTTGAAATTTTCTTCTAAAATGATCATTTTTATCAAACTTGTATATTTAAGTTCAGTAATTTCACTTAAATGGCAATGATAATTACCTATTAATTGTTATTTAAGTGAAATTACTGAACTTAAATATACAAGTTTGATAAAAATCATCATTAAAGAAGAAAATTTCAAATGGCATTTAGAGGCTTTTGCATCTGAACTCTTCATATGTAGACATTCCAAGATGCTTATTATAAATATTTCAAATAAATCTACCTATCAAATTCAACCTTTATACTAAATGATTACATTTTTGATTTTTGTTCAGCCATCTCTTAAGCTGTTTCTTAAATGAAGCAAATGAAGTTTAATGCATTCTTGCTAAACAAAAGCATTAATTTGTTTTTAAAGCAAACAATACAGACCCCAAACTTTTGAACAGTAATGTACATGAGGTTAAAACTCATACCTTTCTCTTCAGTGGCCCCAGTCGAGCAGACTTGGCATCCACTGAGGCATACGTGAGCCACAGGCTAGTGGAGACATGCTGCACAAAGCACATGGACTCTCCGTACTTGATCTCTGGGATCCCCATTCCTTCCACGTCACGTTTCTGAGCCACCTCGGTCTTCTCCTACTCAATCAAATGACATAAAAAGTTTTGATATCAAAGATTGTTAGAAAACATTTTGTTTTGAGAGTATGTTATAAAGTGGAGAGCATTATTCAGACCTTAGAAGCACGAAAGCAGAAAGCAGAGTTCTTCGTATTCGCTTTTTCCGGGTCCACAATCAGGAGTCCTTTCTCTTCATCCAGGCACAGATACCTGCCTGTTGTGATGTGACGCACCCTGAAGGACTGACCCCACTTCATGTGGCTACCACTCCACCTGTGTACAATGAGATTGAACATCAGCTCTAAAGGAGAAAAACAATTATTTTTGCTTGTTAAAGGGATAGTCACTTTGAAATTAATTTTTGGTATGTTTTAGCTTACCTCAATGGCATCCATGATGTAGGTGTCTTTGTTTCACAGTAGTTTCAATTTTGATATTTTTAGGTCAAACTGTTTGTGTCTGTCAGTCATATAATGGAGGTCTATGGTCACCACCTCAAAGAGCATGCACAGAGAAGTCCAAATTAAACATGATTTAATGACTCGTAAATGTAAGTACACATTGATGGCCTAAGACACGAAACGAGCGGTTTGTGTGAGAAAACAAACCACAATCAAGTCCAAATGATCTGAGGGCGCGGGCGGATGTGAAAAAAAATTCAACGTTGTCTGTTGATATATCGAAATCGTCTTTCATTGCAATTTCCTGTATATCTAAATATGTTTAGATCTTCACAGTGAAGGATAACACTTGTGAAATCTCTGTGTAAACAATGAGTGACATACACACGCGAGAGATCACTTCAGGCGCTTGTGCAGACTGAAGCGCCCGTGCCCTCAGATCACTTGGATTTTGCTGTGGTTACAAGAGGTAAAAACTATATAAATACTGTTCGTTTTCTCACACAAACCGCTCGTTTCGTGTCTTAGGCCATCAATGTGTACTTACATTTATGAGTCATTAAATCATGTTTAATTTGGACTTCTCTGTGCATGCTCTTTGAGGTGGTGACCATAGACCTCCATTATATGACTGACAGACAAGAACGGTTTGACCTAAAAATATCAAAATTGAAAATACTGTGGAAACAAAGACACCTACATCTTGGATGCCCTTGAGGTAAGATAAAACATACCAAAAATTAATTTCAAAGTGAACTATCCCTTTAAGGCTCTGCTGTATAAATATCACCAACCCAATGCGAAGAGGCTCCAGTCTCCAGAGAGATCTGGCGTGGCTGCACACGGCTCCACCTTCATAGTGTGCATTTCTGAAATTTCATGCAAAATAAGAAAAGATTGATTGTACTGTAGATTAGCACGTTTACATACAGTGGGATATGGATTTGTATCTCACCGTCTCTGGTCGTCGCCCTGGTCAGCAGCAGGAATTGCTAAACACTCATCCATGTGCCCGTGGAACAGACGCAGAACATGCCCTCCAGTCAGATAGCCTGAACCAAGGAAACATCACAAAATAATGTATTACGTTTGTTGTAAAGACACTTTAGAAATTGGTCTACAATGCATATTGATATTGATTGCATAATGCATATTGGTTAACTGGGAAAAATAAGGAAATTAAGACATAAATATTAGTAATGTAATTTTACAGTTGTAATTTTTATTTTATATAGTATTATTTTTTACTTCATCAGAATGGTACAATCTTTGGTAAAGGTTTTGGCACTTGTTGCAATTTATACAAAATAAAGTACACTGATTTCGTGAAAATAATTTAAAAAAGCTACTTTTTGAACACCACATGGTTTAAATCAAATTTCCCAAAGTCTTGCAGCCCTAAAGAATTTAAAACGTCCCACATTTTATGGTAAACAAAGCGTGGGATTTAAGAAAGCTTGTACTTTAAGCTTACCCTCTGCCAGCTCACAGCCAGAACAGACTGGGTTCATGTTCCAGAGGGTCTGCATGAAAGAAGCGTCCACCATGAGGTCTCCGCTGGCATAGGACAGGTGCTGTTGATGGTACAGATGTTTCAAGTGAAACTGTAAGGCTCCATCAAAAAGAGATTGTGTTGATTACATAGAGACGGGTTTTACCAGATATCTCTCAGAGGACACGCTGACCAGGATGAGATCATCGCCCACCCTGACCTTCTCACCCTCTGACCTCTGCTTGGATGCAGGGTGAATGGTCCACCAACATGCCTCACCTGGAGGGAGATTTTCTTTAACTCAGATTTCCCTTTTGTACATTTGCAAGAACTCAGTATATTTGAGCTAACCATCCCCTAGAAATTAAACACCTGTCGAGTCCTCCTGCAAGCCCACGTCAAAGGCCAGCTTGTCGGTGAGTGACCTTGATGTTGTCAAACAGCTAAGGTACTGCATCATGCAAAGAGGTGGCAATCAATAAAAACAGAAAGAATAAATTGTTATTTCACTATAGTTCATTTTCTCTTAAAATACTCATCCAGCGATGGCCTGTATGTGTATATTAAAATTTGACCCACCATGCTAGAGTGAGTGTGTCTGAGAAGGATAGCATGGCCATACAACAACGTGCGGTGGCCTCCTCCTTGTGAAGACTAGAAAGAAGGTGGAAAAACAATACAAGAGTCAATATGGATATGTTTTTTGGCACAGCAATAACTGAAAGATTAACAAAAAAAATGCATTTGGTGAGTAAAGACTGTGCCGTTACAGTGTTTAGCATCAGGGACTCAGTTATAACCCGCCTTTCCACTGTCTCCGACATTAGTGATGAATGACTTCTGGCCTGCCTTTTGTCAGAGATAGTGACAAGGCGGCTATAATCTGAGGTAGAAACACAGCAATAAGAATAAGCTAAATTCAAGGAACATTTCGAGGCAAAAATGGAAACCTACCCATTTGTCCAAATCGACTGCCTATAGTATGCAAAAAAAGAGAAAACAAGGTAAAGAGGACAATGTTCATGCATTTCATGGTTGTTTGGGCACAACAATTAATTGACTTTGAATTGACTTTGAGTTGATTTGATATTAAAGAGATAGTTCACCCAAAAACAAAAATTCTATCATCATTTAAGTTGTTACAATTTAATTTTTTTAATTTTGGGGTGGACTATCTACCTTTAACCCCATTCCTGATGTATGTGCTCTGAACAAACCTCAAGATCATTTGTGTTAGCCAGCATTTCCTGAAGGGCCCGCACAGATAAGGATTGCTCCAGGATAAAGCAGCATATGGCCAGATCAGGAGGAACATTCTAGAATGACCATAAAACAACAACAACAAAAAAAACTGTGTACAGAACACTGGGAATCCAAAACAGTATTTCATAAATTCAGAATGACATGAGAAAAGTATGTGTATTGCATTCACTTGAAGAAAAAAAATATATACTCTGTTTTTCTGAATTAAAGAGTTAATTATCTCAGAATTACAAGATCATTTTTCATGGAAATTTTTTTTCGCTCTGTTTTTTTGAAATAACAAGTTAATTATCTCAGAATTACAAGATCATTTTTCATGGAAAATAGTTTTCGCTCTGTTTTCCTGAATTAACGAGTAAATTATCTCAGAATTACGAGATCATTTTTCATTGAAAAAAGTTTTTTTCATGGAAAAACGTTTTTGCTCTGTCTTTCTGAATTAACAAGTTAATTATCTCAGAATTACGAGGATAAATTTTCATGGAAAAAAGTTTTTGCTCTGTTTTTCTGAATTAACTAGTTAATTATCTCAGAATTAAGAGATAATTTTTCATGGAAAAAAGTTTTCGCTCTGTTTTTCTGAATTAACGATTTAATTATCTCAGAATTATGAGATAATTTTTCATTGAAAAAGGTTTTGCTCTGTTTTTCTGAATTAATGATTTGAATGATTATCTCAAAAATTAGGAGTAACTCATACATTCATAAAAACAGAGCAAAAACATTTTTTTTTCAAGAAAAATATATCTCGTAATTCTGAGATAATTAACTCGATAATTCAGAAAAACAGAGTAGATTTTGTTTCCTCAAATGAATGCAAAACGCTTCCGTAGAAAAGCATACCTGGGCATTGGATGTAGTTTCCAGAAAGCACAAGCGATTCCCAAAACCCTCACAGGACAGGCAGAGTTTGATCTGCTCCTTCAGGATAGTAGCTGTGCACTGTAGAACCACCTGGTCATCCTACAAAGAAAATAAATCTCAAGATGTAAGTCTCTGAGTAATATATCATGTTTTTAAAGACGACTAAGCATGTCAGAACAGTTGAAGGGTTAATTCACACAAAAATACAAATTCTGTTGTCATTTACTCAACCTCACGTAGAAGTCATTCTAGGCCCCCCTTTAAAACAAACACAAAATACGTTTTGATAAAATGTTGGTAACCCGAACCATTTTGGTGCTCTTTGGCTTCCATTGTATTGACAAAAAACAAACCCTGAGACATTTCTCAAAAAAAAAAAAATGTGTGCTCCACAGGAAGAAACAAACTCGTACAGGGTTGGAACTACATTTTTGGGTGAACTATCCTTTTAACATTAGACAAAAAGCTATCAAAATTTCGGGGCACAATCTCACGCAACCTTTTGATAAACAAATACACTATTTTTTCGATGCATCATCTGATACAGAGAGTACTAGAAATAAATCTCAATCTTTCACAGAAACCCAATTTAATTCAGTATTGAATATTGCCACTTTCTGAAACACCGATTTAGACAAGTCGTTGATGTTTTCTTTGTAACAACATGCCCATAGCACACATTGCTGCTACATAATTTGGTATTTGTAACCTTGATCAAGGCAGCAAGCACCTAATCCTGAATGTGGCTCAGGTTACAGCCAGAACACATGTGAGGAGGCTTAGAGGCCTGTCTGAGAAGAAAGAAAGATTGCTTTATGCATTAAATATTTTTAAGTTCTATGATAAACAAAGTCATTTGATAGGTTATATGAAAATAAATTAATTTGATCTTAATTATAAAGCCTTGGTGCCACTAATTCTAAGTACAACACCACCCTCTGTTACTCTAGTCTATCGCCAGACAAGTTGACCTCAAAAAGACTTGATTTAATAGATAACCTCTTTACTGTTCCATTGATTCAGTTCAATATATGTTGAAAAATTGGAAATGAAAAATTAAAGATGAAGCCTGGCTTTATAGACAAATTGGGGCAGGTCACGTCCTTGACAGGCTAGTCTGCATTACAGTGTATTATGTATGTAAGTGTGTCATCCGCTGAGATATTCAGGGCTGGAATGTAACCCGGTGGGCCGTGGAAAACCCTGTTTACACCGGCACATTCTGCTAGCAACCCGAGACAGCGCTTCTGTAACAATATAGTCATTGTGAGATCGTAATTATAACATTTGCATTAAATAAATGTCAGAATACATTTCTAAAATATATCAACATGCATTAATTTTATATACAATCATCCCATTAAAATATGTAGACTTGTTGTTGGCAATACATACTGTTAAACAGTTACGTTTTTTTTAAAGACATTAAAGTTACCATCAAAAATCAATATTGGCATTTTTTGATTTTTATGGAATGCTACTGTAGTATAAATTGTTCACATCATTTTTTCATTTTCATCAAAATAACTTATCTTCCCACTTGCAGCATCCTCTATTCTTTTCTGTGATGATGACGTTATTTACTGGACAACCTGTCACTCACATGACATAAACAAACCACAGCGATCCAACAATCCAACCAAATCATGTCCCGCCCAACATTTGTTCTTGTTCAAGAAGCCGCTTCACTTGTATATACGTCACAATAGGGCAATAACAACTTACGTTTCATCACCACAGCGAGGAAACATGACATTTGTCTAAAGTGACAGTAAAGACTTTTACGTTGTTACTTTCTAAAGATTTATATTTCAAAGAAATGCTGTTCTTTTGAACTTTCTATTTATCAAAGGATTTATCAAAGTTTCCATAAATATATTAAATAGCACAACTGTTTTCAACATTGATAATATAGGAAATGTTTCTAGAGCACCACATCAGCAAATTAGAATGATTTATTAAGGATCATGTGACACTGAAGTCTGGATTAATGATGCTGAAAATTCAGCTTCACCATCACCAGAAATAAATAATATTTTAAGTTGTTATAATAATTATATTACTGTTTCAACTGAATTTCTGATTAAATAAAAACATGATGAGCAATATATATACATATATATATATATATATATATATATATATATATATGTGTGTGTGTGTGCTTGTGGGAAAATGTAAATTTTTATTATAAGAATTTTTTTTAAATAACATTTTTATTTTTTCCATATACATAGACCTGCTGTGTGACAAAATACAATTTAAGTAGTATACTATTCAATGTCTGTATTAATATGAGGTCATAAAAACTGGATAAATTAATTTTGAAAATGTATAAAGATTTTGAAGATTTGTTTTAAATGGTCTTCATCGCGTACTGTTTGAAACGACAGCCAACCCAATTACAGTATCACAAGCATTAAATTATTTTTCAGCAGCCTTCTCCCCTACTTGTCTCCCCCAGCCTCCTCCACTATCCCTCTATTTCAGGCTGTGGCACCTGCTACTTGCAATTTTCCTGGAGCCAAAGTCACACAAAAGTAACAGTGGAACTGTAATCAATGAAAGACTGTTCATTCGGGACAATTACGGTCTGACTTTTAGTTTTACAACCACAGAATGTATCAAGAAACTGCATCAAAAATACCTTTCCATTAAACAACTTCCAATGAAGAATGATCCATAATGACGCATTCTGTAAACTGACGTCTTGTATTAAAGGATTTCACAAGCTGGACCACTTCATCTGCTTTTCTTTCATTGTCTAGTCACTCATCAATAATTTTTGTTAAAAAATATTATTTGCCAGAAAAATTCAGTTAAACAGTGTTTATAAAATGTTTTTGCTAACCAAACTCTAAATATGTGCTGAAAACTGAAAAGCTCTAGAGGCCGTCATAAAAATAGGGGGACATGGAATAGACTTTTTAAATAGACTGTAACAAACAGGTGTTGGTTCATGACGGGCCAGAAAGCTGCTAATCCCATCTCTGTATATAGACTCAGAGCTCATAGACAGCAGCATCACAAACAACAGTACAGGACAGCACTAGTCATCTTGATACGCTTCTGCATTGGTTAAAATCTTCCAGTGCATCCATTATAGGACTGTTTGAGCTCTTGTTAGAATGACTCAAGTTCATGTTGACTTAACCCCAACACAGCCAGGTCAGGCATTTACAACAATAAGGTCAACCATATAGACTCATAAACATACACCACAGCCGTATGGGCTTCACTGGCACATCTTAAATTCACAGATCTTTGTACTGTATGGTCTAGATTTACATCTTGATCTTGGCAGCATAGTCGTCATGCTTCTGTGCACAGTGCCAAGTGTAAAGTCATGTTTCAAACAGTGACAATCCAACCTCTACACTGCCTTATGTATAAATAGACAACAATGCCATGCAAATCCACACACCTGGTCCTGTCACTCAACATCCATCCAAAGATATTCATGAAAACTGAATGAGAAAGCTGTGTATTTTAGAATTCACACACCTTTCAAACAATGAATTTCATGACTTCTACATTCATTATAACATTGTAATTAAAAAAAAAATCAATACATGCATTTTTTTAACTAATCGGAGGTAAGGTATGACTCACTGTTCGTAAGAACTGAATTTCATCTTCTCCCTCAGCTCCTTCTGCCATGGTTCAGGAGATTTGCAGGTTCCGGCAGGAAAAGTGAGATGAGGTCCCCCTCCCTGTCCTTCTCAGCTGGGAGAGATCCCACTCTTAGCTTCCCCACTTCTCCTTCACTTCGGTCCACGGGCTGCCTGTGCGTGTGGAAGAACTGAGACAGCTCTGGTGAATGCAGTTCACAGAGAGCTCCACTTTCTGTAGCGTTCTCTCGCGGCTCCACATCAAAGAGGAGGAGCGCCAGCCTCATAAAACTAATATTATCACTCTCTGTTGAGCTTAGCTAAAGGATATTAACAATCTTTTTATAATAATTCAAACTGGTTTAATGAGTGAAAATATTGTAAAAACTTGGTTCCTTTCCCTTTATTCTGGATTTTGTTCCTTGGATATGTAAAGCAAAATAAATGAATAAATAATTTCACTCTAATTAAGAAATATTCCAAGTCACCAAAAAGGATTCTCAAACGTAGTTTGTAAAAATAAAACTGTACTGAAATGCACTTGCTATAGAACAGTATGGGGCAACTGTTTGCCAATAGACTTGCAAAATGTTTTGTTTTTATGTACAAACTTTGCGACATTTCGTGGATCAACAGCGTGCCACAGACACTGTTTAGCTTATTTTTATTTAAGCAGATATATTTTTTCTAACATTTCCCAATCCATTCGTCCTTGCTTAAAGGGAAAACTCACTTTGAGATTAATTTTTGGTATGTTTTAGCTTACCTCAAGAGCATCCAAGATGTAGGTATCTTTGTTTCCTAAGTAGTTTCAATTTTGATATTTTTAGGTCAAACCGTTTTTAGGTCAGTCATATAATGCAGGCAGGTCTATGGTCACCACCTCAGAGAGAAGTCCAAATTAAACATGATTTAATGACTCGTAACTGAAGCACACATTGATGGCCTAAGACACGAAACGAGCGGTTTGTGTGAGACAACGAACAGTATTTATAACGTTTTTATCTCTTGTAACCACAGCCACGTCCAAGTGATCTGAGGGCGCGGGCGCTTTGTGGCTGTGGTTACAAGAGGTAAAAACAATATAAATACTGTTCGTTTTCTCACACAAACCGCTCGTTTCGTGTCTTAGTCCATCAATGTGTACTTACATTTACGAGTCATTAAATCGTGTTTAATTTCGACTTCTCTGTGCATGCTCTTTGAGGTGGTGACCATAGAGCTCCATTATATGACTGACAGACAAGAACGGTTTGACAAAATATCAAAATTGAAACTACTGCGGAAACAAAGACACCTACATCTTGGATGCCCTTGAGGTAAGCTAAAACATACCAAAAAATTATTTCAAAGTGAACTATCCCTTTAACATGATATTTCACCCAAAAATGAACATTTTGTCATTTACTCACCCTCATGTTGTTATAAACCTGTATGAGGAGTTTCTTAAGAAGATATTTAAAAAAATACTGGTAACCAGACAGTTACCAGTTTTTTTTCCTACTATGAAAGTCAATGGGGTCCATCAAACTCAGCTTGAGGGCAAGTAATGACATTTTAACTTGCCACAGGTCCCATGAAAATTAAAAGAACTGAACTTCTAGAAAATAACTACAAAAAAAAGTGAACTATTAAAATGAATTTTATTAAGAACAAAGAGAATTTGTGACAGCTCACAAACAAACAAATAAAACCATTGTTGCATAAATAATAGTTTAATGATTACACAAACCATATTCAGATCCCACTCTTTGGGAAATGATTAGTAACTAATAAAAAATTAAAGAACTAAATGATTAAAGTGGTAACGGGTTCCAAGTAGACATGCGCACCTCATGCGTGGGCCAGCGGGGAGAGTCTCTGTAGTGCCTTCTAGTGGTCGGATGCTTAAACTGAAAGGTTGGAGAGGAAAGCTCACCAGGCAACCCGTTACTCGTGTCATCTTCAAAAATCACACCATCTCGTGTCAAAGAAGCAAGAGGTGGAAACTCAAATGGAGGACTGGCATTCACCCATGAGGGGGTTTCCTTATCGCTTTCGTGCAGAGGAGAGACTTGATCCGCTCTGAAGTCTTCCACTGAACTTGAGTCTTCAAAGAGATTCAATGGCACCATCTGTTGGAAGAACATTGGTGATGCAAGATCAGGTGTGGGAACATTTGAATCTTCACAATCGTCTTCCTCATGACCACCGATGTGACACTTCTGATCCAACATTTTATGAAGATGAATCTTCTTGGCATTCTGCTCTGTTTGCTTGCACATGAACAGACATTCAGTTTTCGTCATCGAAGATAAATTCGGATCTTGATTCGGGTTTTCCAACAAGCTCAGAGAATCCACATCATTTGTTGTCTGATTTTGGAGGGAATTTTGTGACCACTTGCACATCTCTTGATGATGTAAATCATTAATCGGTTCTTGATCGGCCGACTCCACACCTGAATCAGGGCTAGCGTCGCACATTCCTATGAAAGCCTGATTTGCTGGAGGAGATCCCACAGGGCTCTGCTCTAGTGGTCTCTCAGATACGCCATCATGACTGATGGAGCGGCCAAATCGGCGTGCCCCCTGCCTCCGAAGGCGCGTGGCTCCCCTCTGAAGGGAATCCTGTGGTTTCTCCCGGAAATGAGGTGCCGCTCGTGACGTCCGGAGCAGCAGGGTCAAAGCACTAAAACCTCTAAGCCGCTCAGCCACGGACAAACGCTGATGGGGTCTTTTGAAACCAATAGTTGAGTCCGTCATCTTGTCTTGTTCATAATTCTTCTCTGTTTTAATGCTTCCTTTTGTCTCTTGCACTTCATTGATACCCCCCTTCTTCCCTGTGGTTACATTCTCTTGCTCATTTGAAAGGGTCAGACTCGCAAACATCGACCAGACACTGTTATCAATCTCGGTTTCAGCTCTACCAACTTCCTTTTCCAAAACAGGGATCTCATCCGTAACCGACTCCAGCATCACCTCTGGAAGGCTTATGGATCTACGAGGACGAGATCGGTTCTTAGAGCGGTTCTTATCTTTTTTGGACTCTTTACGTGGCTGCTTCACCTCTGGCTCATTCTCTACTTCTGTGCTTGCATGAGACCCTTCATTTTGAGTAACAGATTGTGTTACCTCACATTCTCCTAACCGCTCAAAGTCCTCAACTTCAAGGACGGTCCAGCATTCATCGTCACAGGGTTCTTCGCTGTCCTGTCTCTGCATGAAAGATGTTTCTTTTCCCATTTTCAGACCGTCATCAGGGATCTCAGCAAAACCGCAGTTGAGAAGATCCGGGTCATTGTCCACCTCGTTCCCAACAACAACTGCATGATTGAAAATTAAACGTTCCAAAAATGTTTTATTTGAACAAAAAATATGAATAGATTTAAATGATAGTGATGAGCCATATTTTTATTTAATCTGTAAATATTGTGTAAGAAACAGACTGACGTGTAACTTTTACTCTGTAGCACTCAAATCTAATTCAAATGATAATCAAAGACCAGTCAAATAAATTAATAAAAACTCATCCAAACCTGCTCCTGGTTCATCAATGACAATAAGAGGTATCCTTGGATGATCATTTATAAGTGGTGAATCACTTTCACAGTGAAGCTGTTCTTGGTGTTCATCTGAACAATTTTCAGGGTCTTTATGTGTTGGTGTTCCTGAAAGCTAAAAATATGAAACCAGGTTAGCAAAAGGTTAGTAAAATGTACTAAAAGCTGGTTAAAAAAAAAACATACTTGGTTACTGTTGTTTCCACTGGACACAGTAAAAAATCGGAGAGATCTTTTTCTCCGATGCACCTTTTCTTCTTGTGCTGGAGGCCTGAAAACCGCAAAACATACACAGATAAGGCTAACTGCTACTCTTTGTAGATGAAATATCATCCCCAAATTAGTATTACAGAGTAGAGTGCAGTCATGATACAGTACCTAAGCAATTTCCTCTGATCTCTCGTGTTGCTTCTCTTCATGGTGGTGAGAATAGCATCTTCTTTACTACTCTTTTCTTTCAGGGGACTATGACTGCTTACAGATTCTAACAGATTTTTGCAAAGCAACTTTGGGGTATCAATATTCTACAACAATCATGAGATAAACTGGTAAAATACACATATAGAGAGACTGACCTTGTGTCTGAGTGATTGTTGTAGACATGTCCTCTCTTAGGTCATGCAAAGACCGCCTGAACAAGTAAATACACAAGCACAGAAACATCTGGGATGTGCAAGTAGTCTATGAAGTTATCTGACAGCCAGACAAAATTAATATTTATGTATCAGATTCAGATAAGCCAATAATGTACCTTTTCTTTGCAGATCCTTCAAGTTCAGGAAGTGATTCCTCTGTGGCTTTACGTTTGACTGTCACTGGTGATTGAGGAGATGGGCTTTTTGAGAGAGGAGTCACTATAAAGATCCAAGAAGCATTTTTTTTTTTACTTTTGCAGTTTAACAGAATAACTAATAGGAAATCACTTACCATAGACAAATATAGGGGCTCACCTGACGTGACATCTAAGACTATTGGTGGTCCAGTGGGAGTACGGCATGGCTTCAGTTTGGAAAAAGCATCTACGAATATTTCTGAAACAATATTTGGATAAATATTGACATCGTTAAAACTGAAATATATGCTAGGAATTTGTTTGTGCCCATAACATAAAATCTCTATATACTTTGGGGTCAAAAATTCTGAAATATTACAATTTAAAATAATTTAAAATGTAATTTATTCCTTCAGAAATGTATTCCTTTATTCTGATATACTGATTTGGCCCTCGGGAACCATTTTCTATTATTATCAATGTTGAAACAATTTTGTATTAAATATTTTTGTGAAAACCGTGACATTTTTCAGTATTCTTTTATAATATTTTTATATCTTATAGAATTTTTTTCACGGTTTTTTTTTAAATATAATTTTTAATCCTATATTGAGGATTGGTGGGGATCTAATATATTAACTTAAAAACATAACATGACAACCTTAATTGTCTGTGGTGGTTACAGCAGTATATAACCGGCAATGATACTAGGTCCCCAACCCGGAATCGATGCCGG